TTACTTTCTTTTTATTTTATATTTCAAAATTTTCATTACATATAAATTGCAATGGTTGGAATATAAATTTGAATATATTATTATCATCAAAGTTAAACTATGCGATAGAATATCCTTTTTTCAATTTTATTTTTTTATGTTTTTAAGCCAATCAATTTGAGAGCAGTTGCGCTCTGTTGAACTTATTCATTTTTAAAAACAATCACTTTGTAGCAATGTTGCTGACAAGCGTTTACACTTTCACGATTGCGGCATGGAAAATAAATTGAGTTAATCAGTTTTTAAGGGTTAAAATAAATTAATTTTTGTCATAAAGAATTCAGCTTGAAACAAAAATCCGTTAACAACACTAGTTACCTAAAAGTTATTCTATGTAGTTCTTATTTTTAGTTCTGAAGTAGAATTAAAAAATAAAACCGTACATAATTCTTTTGTTGTTCGTCTGTGTTTTGTATTTGAAGTAAAATTTAACACAGAAAATTGAAGTATGCTAAAGAAGAGGGTGGTGACCCGGTTGCAGACGTATATAGAAAAATATTAATGTTCTAAAATAAATTTTGTAGGCAGTTTGTGTTTATTTGATTTATGCATAACTATTTCAAACAAATATAATTGAAGTTGGATTTGAATAATTGTTCTTTCATGAAAGGTAAAGACTCTCTTTGTATGTTTTATAATACCACATGGTACTCGTAATTTTAATTCTATTATTTTTATATTAGGTATCTCAAATATTATAATTTATTAAAAGCTGCCCTTTCCGCTAAATGTAGACCGTATTCAAATTTAGGTTGAGTATTTTTTAAGCAATCTATACAAGTTAAAATTATTTTGTTTTATTTGTATCTTAAATGGCATACCAGAATATTTTATGACATAAGGGTATTTTTCTTCTATTATACATGTATTTACTTACAAGAAATATATTTTTAAAATTCCGATGCTACTTTAAAAAAGAAAGAATGATATAAAACATTGCCATCTAACATTAAAAGTACCTAAGAAAATGTATGTAAAGGCGGTTGTAGACAAACATATATCATTTTTATAGCTGGTTGGATAAATGGTAAGAAAAACAATCCTCGCGTGATATATATTTCTAAAGAAACACGCGACGTCAGGAAAGCCTTGTTATAAATGTTTTAAAATAAATATCCCACCTCTCCAAAGTAGTAGGACATTTCTAATTTTTAAGATTAATATAAGAAGCATATTTGTATGTGTTTGCAATGTCATCCCTTCAGAAATAAAGTACATATATGTTTTTGAAAGGCGAAACGAAAAAGTTACTTTTATTACGCACTGTCGTTATTAGTAAAGTTGTTTATAAAGGTATGTTACGTAATACTTGAGGTTACTTACTAAGTTTAGGATTCACGAAACCACATAAATTTTATGTGGGCTTTATTTCTATGACATAAAAACATCCATTCCACTGAAACATTTTGCCGTCTAAGCTAAATGTGAATTCTAATAACTATCTGAATTAAAGTTTTGTATTTGAGGTACCTAAATGTTACACACATAAAAGTACTGTTAAAATTTTAATCATATTTTCTTTTTCCAGGTAAGTGAAAAATTTATCCCGCTACTGTGAAGGTAAGTATTAACCTTAAGCTATTTTTATTTTACATTGTTTAATAGGTTGTTCAAGATGTGGTAGAGAAATTCCGGCGCTGAAAATTCTCACTTATATAAAATCTGTTTCCCCAATGTTTCGGACAGTCTGGTAAAAGCTTTTAGAAATATACGACATAGTATACTTATGTTTCTGGTAATAGTGTAGTAAGATTATACTTATTTTCTTTCTCTTATTCTTAAATTCTCGCCGAAAATAAACAAAGCCTCATATATTCATGAGTACGAAAGAGCAGTATTAGAATAGATAATAAAATATTCAGATCATTGTAGGTTTACGTTTTTCTATAACGATGAAAGGTGTTGTTACCTTTGTCAACAGGTAAAAGAGTAACTAAAACAAGAAGTGTCACATTAAATAAAAACTTTGAAGTATCTTCAAACTATCAACATTTTAAAGTTATATTATTTAGCATCATAGAAAAACTAACACAGAGTCTTTAACATGATCTATTTAAATAGACGTCTTAATAGTATAAAAAGCATAAAAATGATTAAATTATTATGTTTAATCATTACGGGAGCATGGAAATTATAACTAACAAATGTTTAAGTCGACAGACGTCGAGTTAAAGTTGCGCAATACAACAAAATGGATTAACGAATGGGTTCCACGTGTCATTCCTTTGAGATTAATTTTGAATTACGTCACGTACTGGGGATTCGCTATCTTTTAGAGTACGTTTTCCGCAACAGTACCTAGAAATAAAACTGTTATGGAATATGATTATCATATTATATAAATTAATTTACTTTACGCGTTGATTATTTCAAATCTAGAATATAATAGATATATCTGACGTTAAATTGCAAGTCGATCGGTGGCTATGACGCCAGTGACGTCCTCGTGACGCCGCCTAGCTCCTCGCTCCTGCAGAAGGCGGACCCGTGAAAGCCTCACGCCTGCGCTTAACAACCACCGCCATATTATTCCGTTGTACCATACTCGGTTCGTTTGCTCGGTCAATTATCTTTTGCGTATTGAAGAGGCGACGCAACGCGACGTAATTTTTAATTTATTGTCCTAATCGTTTGCTATCACCGCTAGTTTTTTACTTGAGTCGCTTAAAACGTCACTTCACAAAGTTGTTAGAGTAATTTTTGACTTCATGTTTGACTTGGAATAATATTTTGACTTACCAATGTGAATAATATAATTTAAAAACAATGTATCACCTCGTTGGATTAAATTAAAATATATTATATAAAATTTACTACCATTAAAAAAGAGATAAAAAGTCGCTTTGTTGAAGAAATGAAAATATTTTATACATTATTTATGTCATGTTTAAATGCTTCACGATTTCACGGCCATATAAACATTTAAATACTCGTATAAAGTTATATGAAGAAGAATAATCAAAGCCAAAACGTTAAAACGATACATAAATATATCATGTAATATAAAAAGATACTATGAAATGTACAGATGGTCTCGCATTTAGAGCTTAATCCAAATTACTAGAATGAAGCTGGTACTTGACCCGTTCTTTTTATGTTCCGTACCCATTGCGCAGATGCGCAATAAAATGCCTCTAAATGCCATAAAGCAATTTTATGTTCTTAGAGCATTATTATTAATTGAAGCACCTTAACAAGAAATAGTGTTGTAAGCTTTAATAAATTTCGCTTGGACATCGCAGAACTCTGTATCTAGTAACTCATCTTAATGCCACTTCATATAAATTACAAACTCTTAATAAGTTTTGTTTTAGAAATGTATTATGTTATTTAGTGATAAGGGATTGCGGAAAAATTAATAAAATAATTCGAAAAGAAAAGGTTTTACTATAAATTGAGGCTACTCATATAAAGTCAACTATCACCTTAAAAAGCAGCCTAATTGAATATATATCACGATAAGTGAATTATGAGATAATTTTATATTTCTACATGAATTTTTTTAAAAATGATAATCTAACTAAACGTGTTCTGGGCTTATTATTTTTTAAAACAAATTTATTATGCTTACAAAGAGTTGAATTTCAATTAAATAAATATTACAAGAGCAAGCAATTGCAAACTTTCAAACGGGAGCGTTCCTACCGAGTCCCTTCCAGACATTTTATACATCATAAGCTCCAGTGCACACAGAAGTAACATATTTTATATTTACTTATATATTGATTCCTTAATGTACCATATTAGTCTAATGGATTGGAATTTCATTGCTCATTTCATCTTTTTCTAATTTGAGAAATCTGGTACAGAATTTTTTGCTAAAAATTTAAATTAACAAATATAACCAAGAATTTTTGAAACCTACGTATAAACAAAACATTAATCCATCGATTTTATGAAGCATTGGAAGTGTTGGCTGTGCTAAAAGCCGCATGAGTATACATATTCTCTATAAAACGAATGTGACAAAAATCCGAAACACGATAAAAGATGATCACATACGATATAATATCAGTATCAAGATAAATGAACAACATGAAAAGGGGACAAAAATTGTGAGCTATCAGTAATATTTCATAGGTTTCACAAATTTCTTGTACATTACGAGTAAATGTCAATGGCGCATTAACCTCTCGCTTCGTAAGTTTTCGCTTAACCGTCTTTGAATTAATCTAAATATTTTCAGTCTGGTAAAGAATATTTTTCCAATCTTGACGATAAATCTCATTAATAACTCTAGTAAGATTAGCTTTTGCAATAAAGTACTGTAGTGATTTAAAATGAGGTATAGGTCTTTGCCCTAATAATAAAATAGCTACACTATTCAATATTAATAAATTTTGTACGTATAAGAAAAATATAAGAAATTTCAATATTAAAACTGAAAATCCTATAATAATAGATCCTCCAAAATGATTTATTATTGTTACACGATACTACTCATACAATTATTGCATTTCTTAATTTTGTACATAATTCACGCTTGCTGAACTTTTACTTACACTATAATCAACAAACTTACATTAGAGGCGACATCCTATTAGACAAGCAAAATGTCAAAGCTCTGATAGCACCCATCAGTCAAACGATGGGTTCGATGATGTCACTAAATATATAAACCTTCAAAAAGAAATCAATAAAAAACGATATCTGTATTACTATATTTTGTATATCATAATAATCGCTAAGTATGAAAATCAATACTTCAAATAGATTTTGATGATGATGATTATTTCATGTTAAAAGTAAAGTATTCTGAATTTCTTCATCTAACATAAAAAAATATATATCATAAAAAAGAAATCTTCTATAACCGCAAATGAGCAATTTTAAATTAATTAACAATTCCAGCACAGCGGTTTCGAAATCTGCATGTTCAATAAAGTTAACTTGTAAAACAAACGTACCTAAAACAGCCAACATTAAATCTGCCTAATATGTACGTCAAAAATCCGTTAATTTTAGTCGAATTTCCCGAAAGGCTTGGTCAGTGTTGTATAGTAGGAGGCGGGTGACGCGGGGAACAGGCGCCGCGGCGCCGCCCGCAGGCGCGGGGCACAGCCCGAGGACTTACGATCGTTTTGCTCCGAATCGTAACGAACTTTGACGATCGGCGCTCCGTCGACGCGTGCTGGATCCAGTCGCAGTGAGAGCCGCCTGGGCGTTGGAACACTTCTCTGTGTTCCCAGAGCTCGGTTATGTAACTCAGTAAACTTATTTATTTATCAACTTAAAATTATCAAGCACATTTGTGAAATAAGTCAGACTCTTCCGTTGATTTTTTTACATTCGATATCCGAGTACATGTGTAAAAGTGATGTGTACCTCCGCCTATCCTTGCGGCAATAGACATCGGAGCAGGTTTATCGTTTCGTTTAAAAATATTGTTACAATTTCAATTTCGTATGAAATGAGTTACAATATTATTATATGTTATTAAATGTTATTTCGATTTATAAAGCGGGCTGACATTAAGCTGAATGTTTCAACAATCGCATACAATCGGAATTGATTCTGCATACAATGAACATTTTCCAATTTGTCACATACCGAGGTACAATCTCCTTTGCCGTCCCAATTAAAAGAACAAATAGTACAACACCAATAGCAATTTGGCGCAATGCAGGACGTATATATGTGAATATACGTAATTGTTAATACAGTCACAATCACATTTCAAATCACTAATTGCGGACTTAGGAAATGTTATTTCATGTACTTTCATTGACAAGTGCGTTTATTATATCTCAAAATTGGATGAGATTTGTTTAATCTAGTAGTTTCATCAGACATTGATAGATGTTTCATTAAATTAGTTATTGAGAAAAATTATTCTTGTCAGTGCCTCGTTTTATAAGTTTTTAAACATATCTAATTTCTTCCAAAATAATAAACCCAATTACAACGTTTTTGATTTTGACAGCGGCAAGTACTTATGTTATTGAATTTAAGTGATTTTTGTCAGTTCAAGGTAAAGTAGTTTTGTCTGGTAAAGACGTGAATAGCATTCAGCTATTTAAACTTGTCTAGAATCAGCAAATATAAGTGCCAAACATTTGTATGATGCAAAGCTCAGAGACAATACTTGACCTAAAAGCGTACCTAGAGTTTTCTATCTAATCTTGGAGTTTATTTTTGTTGTGTTACACCTTCACCTTTAATCCAATTAGACGTTCTGCGGAATTTTAATTGCAGTTATTTCTGCTCACAAAAATCATTACCGATCACGGATTATATTCAAATTACACTCACAGTTCGATAACCCCCAGCCAAACATAAAAATTATTAAAGCTCTTGTTCCTGCCAATTTTGAAATAATATTTTTCTTTACTTATTATTTAATTATGACAATCGCAAAACAGCAATAGATGTCTCATTCTTTTATCCTAATTTTTCATTTTCCCAAAATTTTGTATACATATCATCTGATATTTAATTATAAATATTATAAAGATTACCATAAATTTAAGATTAATTACTCGAGAGATGACAATATTTTTAATACATTCAAAATCAACAAAAGATAAAAAATTTGTTGGTCGTCTGTTTGTTATGAATAACGAAAAGGAATATCGAAGATTCCTCTTAATTCGCGTTTTAATGGTTTCTCATTTCTTAAATTGTAACTTGAATAAAATATTAAATGAAATAATTTGCGTTGAATTAATCTATTTATCATCTCACAATTAAAAAGCAATTATAAGGAACGTACAGTTAGCATTTTAAAGGAATTGACAAAATGCTATTGAATTATCTCCTTTGAAGTTATAATTTACAAATCTTTAAGCCTTAAATATTAAAAACGACGGTTAGCCTAATAAAATTAAATTATTATTATCTAACCATTCAAATTAATTTTAGGCAACGGCACAACTTAGTTTTGTAAAATTTATCAAATTATCCCAGTAAAGTTAGTAAAAGCAGAATTCACGTGAATAATTTAAAGAAAAATAAGGGAAATCATTGGTTCACTATATTTGTAACATACATAATTTTAGTCAAAAAGTTAGTGAAGTATTATTATTTTTATAATAGTTCAAGTAGAAAGTTTCTGGGTAGTAACAAAAAATATTCGGTGATTATTTTCTTATTTATAACTTAAATGTAGCCGCTTAGTGGTCTTTTATTATATAATCTACACTAAACTCGCGCAGCAGATTAAGACCGCTCATATTTTTAATATCAATTCATCCTTCTATTAAATTGAAGTAGGGTAGTTAATATTAAAGTCTTAAGTCTACTACCAAAATATTATTCACTCTTGTAATTAATTGCAGAATTAAATTTTTCATTTATCATTTCATAATTTATTTATATCATAAACTTAATTTTTAAATTTGCAATATAATTAATCTTATAAATTAAATAGACCTGTTGATTAATTCTATTTTGTCCACATACGAATAAATATATGTATATATAAATTAAAGAATTTATATGGCCATTAGTTGAGAATACTAAATGGAAATTGTTTGTGAAAACAGTACGCATAGCTAAAAGCATGGCAATCGACTTCATTCAATTTATTCAAAAACCACAATAGGGTCATTAGATTCAGAGTCGCTATTTATACTCAACCAGCTCAACGAATCAGGTTGAATATTTGTAATTAAAAATTGCGGAAATTCGTTAAAGCAGATAGATTTAAAATTTCTGCAATTATTTACGGATCGGTAGAAAGTATTGTATTAACTTTTATAGCAGCAATCCTTGGCATCGTTTCCATTATTTAAGTTACATATCTTCTTTGTTTTAACAAAACAATGCGATATAAAAGCAATACATTTTTTTTATTTAATTGCATAATAACATTGTCTCAATCTTAAATGAATAAGGCCATTTCGACTACAATTATTTTATGAAATGCGACAATTAATTAATACGAATCAGAATTGTTCATTAGTGCTTTGTCTTCAATATAAAAAGAGACTGTAGGTAATCTAATTATCCAGAAGCTGTAGTTGTCAAATAGAATATAGATCGTATTTGCTGGAACGGCGCAAATAGATTCGAGATCCATTTAAAGGGCATGCGATGTCGACACGATAGACCAAATGCAATGTCGCTTTTGCTATGGTGCATCACGCCCTACTTCTCTTGGGACGCGCCGGCTGTTAGCGTGATTAAAACTACATGAAATACATGATTTTTAAATCATGAATGAACGCAAAGTAGCATGTTACTTTTCTCCTAAATAAGATCGTTATGGTTTTAAGACAATTTAAGAAAGCCTTGGCTAGTTTAACGTACATCATATAATACTTTCCAGTGGCCTTTCAAGCCAACGATTCAGTTCTTTCTGGAGGAAAATTTGTTGAACTTTATCAATACCAAAAAAGGTCGTTGTTCAGTAATAAAATTAATTTCATGATCGGCATATTTTGAAATTATAAAATATTTATTTTAATTAATCGTGTATAATTTATATGAACGTGGACATATTGTACTGATCTGACATGATATCAGATAATATAATAATTAAAATTATAAATTGCAATATACATTGTTTTGCCATCGTTCTATTAATAAATCTTTTAACTTTTAAACTCAGACACCATGATTTTGCAATCAATGCAAAATGTTTTCAAATTAACGATATTTCTGTTTTCCTTAAAATCAATGTAATAAAATTAGCGTTCGTTCCCGCCCTCACCACTTTGCTCTGCCTTCTCGACTTTCATTCTAGTTATTCATACCCCAGTTTTCCTATTCAGCTTACTCTTGTAGAGTTTAAAAGTAAACACATTCTTTTTATTTGTATTATAAGTTTTAAAAATGTATAATTATTTGATATCTAAATAATATTTTTATTTTAAAACTTATTTTTCATAAAGTGTTTATGTTTAAATTTTGAAACGTTGCAATTAATACATATTTTTGGCTTTTGCCAAATTCTAGTTAAATAAATTTTCAGTTTAAAAAGTCTAGTACGTAAGTGATTCTGGAATAGTCAATTATTTGAAGTTACTTAGCTGAGGAAATTTTATATAACATTCGAGTTTTTCAACATCATTGTAAAAATTGTTCACAGTTATTTGCAAAGCCGAAAGCCAAACTATTCAAATAATTATCGATAGTGTTTGTTTTACTTGGAAATTTATTTCTTTACGAAAACAAGACCGGGTAATTTTAGATTGTTTTAATAACAATATTCTCCCAGCTCATACTTCCATATCATGTACGTTTACCTCAAGATTTTAATGAAACAAAGCTTTGTAATTCTAATAGTAATTATTTAAAATAATGTCATGCAGCATTCTGGTCCCTTAATTGAATTTCGAGGCACATATTACGTTCAATTAATTATTTACATATAATTAAACTACATAACCTTTGAACTATACTGCCTAAGTCGATATTGGGAGAATCATAACATAAGGCTTATCCTGTTAACGTCGTTAGTTTAAGATAACAATCTTAAAGTAAAATATATGATTAATAGACAGCTTTTGATTACCTCAGCACTCACAGATTTGCAGACACTAGTTAAATATTTTTCCCATACTTCTTTTAACAGTATCATAACAGTGAAACCGAAGAACTTATTATAGTGATAATAGTATTTTTCATTACATTCCATTACCATCACAGAATTATATTCAATACCGAAGTTTTCATGTTGTAGAATTTTTATGAATAAGAATTTAAAAGTATTCTTTATTTAAAAGATTTAAAGTAATTTTTTAAACCGTGTTAGTATACAGGCATCCTTAAAGACATTCTTGTGCTACATATTTTCCTTAAGAAATATAGGTATTATATTCAATATTTAGCTCAAGAACTTGCGGCATAAGTTTGCTCAAAGTATCCACTTCATAAAACCGTGAACGAAAAGGGTTTGGGGTGATTTCCCCAATATATTCCGGGTTATACATTTGCTGCAAGCTATAATCAAGCCATAATCGTATTAGTGCGGCTTTTTGTTATCACTAAAAAGAATTTTAACTAAAAATATGTTGAATATATATAAAATGTACTGTATTGTTGGAGATTTTTCATGATTTTTACATTTTTATGTGTACATAGGTAAATAAATACATTGTAGTTCTTATAACATTTTGTTTCAAGCTGCAGCTATCAACATAAATATACATATAGGTTTTCTCTGATAAACATAACAAAATCAATATATTTTAAAATTCTTAACATATCTTCTGTTTACTTAGACAGGTTTATCGACTCTTATTGAACATAAAAGTATAATCCATATATAAGCAATATTATAACTTTGGCAATATCTACTAACAAATATTTATTTATTGAAGACAATTTTTATTTATTTATTTATTTAATAAGATTATGCAGATTTATTTAACACCATTTAAGAAAATTTGTTATATAATAAGTTAAGAAAAAAAATAAATAATAAATTATTCATACATACCATTATGAGCATTAAATTCAAATATATATTTTTTATTCCTTCTTCAAAGCAGACATCATAATTTCGAAATAGTTGAGCTACTAATAAAGTTTGCCGTAGTAGTTTCTAAAATCGGATGTTTAATAATTTGTACAAAGCATTCTAACTTCAATTTAATTTAACGTTCCAAATGGATACACCTGTGAGATAGAATTTAAGGGTTTTTTGTAATAATTTAGAAAATATTAATAAATAACTTGAGGTTAAGATCACAAATTATGATAAAATTGTTTCTTTTAGACCTGATAAAATTGTTTCTTTTAGACACATAATCTACAATAAGCATAAAAATGTAAAAAACGGATAAGAGAAAGAGAAATAACATATGATAATATTTCATTCTTTTAATTTATTTATTTTAGAAAAACGGCAGATGTCAATATATATGATATAAACTCAAAAATAAATAACTAAGTTCTTGATAGTACATATAAACATAATTAAAAAGTTGTGATTCAAAATGACTTAAATCAGCAAATATGTGCAAGGTGATAAGACAAGTTTAGTTAGGGAAAAAGTGAACCAGGAGCTTTATAAGGTTACCGAATGAGTGTTTCGTGATGAGGTGACGCTAACGCGCCGGCCGCTGACGCCGATCCTTGCCAATGATGGTGGAAACGCACCGCGCGCCGCCGCCCCGATGTGCGCGGCCAGACTCCCGCGGCAAGCCCACCTCCGCTTCCGCGCCACCTTCCCTGGCCGGCAGTGGCACCCTCATGCATCTCCGCCGCCGACGTCACAAGACCGTGCACTTCGGAGAGAACCTCCTCATGCAGGTCTGCGCTGACCGTGCACATTTGACGGCCCTCGGAGCGAGAGTGCCCGATATATCCTTTTGTCACAAAGCTCACACTGGAGTTAATAAGGGTGATCCACGTTTCTGCTGTGTCGCCCACCATTGTTGCTTGGCAGCAGGTGCTTTTGTAGCCTTAACCTCGAATGGGCGTCAAAAATCAGCCAGAGAACGTAGCGCAGACTCACACTCTAGTGGCGGCGAAACCGGAGACAAAGGCGAGGGCGGTGGCGGTGCGATATCAAAAGAACCGAAACGGAAAACTAAACACCACCATCACCACCACCATCACCATCATCATAAGATACACAATTGTCCTTATCATGATGTCAGACCTCCCCCCGAAGATGAACCTGAAGAGAAAACGATAGTTCCAAAGAAAACTGTATCTCCGTATCTCTATATTCCTAGTAAACTGGAACCAAATGTCCAGCAGCTTTTCAGTTTTATAGAAAGTGTACTAAGTGCATGGGCTGCTGAAGAAGGTCTCACAAGTACTGGAGAATACTCAGAGCCTGATGAACGCATAGTCCGTAGACGCAAATTAAATAAGTATAAGAAACGCACAGATGTACTAAATATTCGTCGTATCGTGTATGAAGTATCAATACTTCAAGGAGCCAAGCTACTTGGAAATGTTAGGTTTCGACATTATCATTGGAAGGGGACTGCTCAAACTTGTAATGAAGCTTTCTTGAGAAAGGTGAGTTCCTTTATAGTACAATAAGTTTAATAATGAATTAGGTTTCAACATTTTTATAAAAATATCAATTGTTTTATTTTATTTTGTCTTGTGAATTTTTATTCGCCAAAACAAACTTTTGCTTCTTAACAGAATTAGTATAAGTAATATGGATATACAATTAACAAAACCGTTATTACACGGTAGTTATTTTATTTTGTTGAATTTTTACTTCTTCTTATCGCTCAAAAGTCCTTGTAAAATATTGACTTCGCAATCCCACTCGATGAGTTTGAAGAAAAACATTTTTTTACATATAAACATACTCATAATCACACTTGAATCATTTGATTTTTAATTTACCCGGTCATATACTTATACTCTTTCGAGAAAAATCTAATGATGTATGATTTCATAAGATCGGTTGTTTTACATTCGAGTGAAACGTGAACATTTAAAATCTCTTACATTCGGAATATATACCGGTATACACATGTTAAAATTTCAATAACCCTTTTCGAAATTACCGGTAATCTGATACAAATATATATTAACGCTACATTCAATAATATAATCTCTTTATAACTCAAATTCAATATAACGGAATTTAGTTTGCAAATTGAATCCTTTATATCAACAAATGCGTTCTGTCTCTATAATACATACATAATATTAAGCAATACTTAAACCTTGTTTAAATTGATATTGCTAAAGGTACGAGGAGATACATAATTCTGTGTCTTTATATAATTTTCAGGATATGTGAGACTCCAATTACTTGTAACAAGTCAACTATAAATAGAATGATCTACAATAATCATTATATATAATTTGTCTATACATCTCCTAATAAGATTACATAAAAGTCCTTACAATAATTAATTTAAAAAATCTGATGAAATATTCGTATCATTTTGACCTTATTTTAGATTCTTCTGCGAGAGGCTGCAATTTCCTTTTCTACTAATGAGGCCTTTCATTTTCTACTCTATGGCAGTGAGTTCTGAGTTTCTTTTTTTATATTAAGTCTATTCTTTAGGCTATGGGTATAAGGTAACCAAAAATATATATGTCTTAAATGATATAAAAAATGATAGTATCTTGCTTGGTTAACATTTGTTGATAACAAATTCTTTTTATCAATTCAATTAAAATAATATCAGCATAGATCTATTTCTTTCGTTCTTAGAACTTTATTATGGTTAGGAAAATTGCTATTTCCAGTCTAAAAATGTTGCTGCTGTAACGCGATATAAATTCTTTCTATGTACGTTTCCAATAAGCATGTAGCTTATTGTGAATCGATATATCAAACTTTTATTACATATTTCATAGTTTTAACATACTTTCCTATATCTTCTTAGGTGTAGCATTGATCTCTATATCCTTATAGTTTCGTGACATGAACAGAAGTCATATTATAATTAATATTAAGCAGATCAAATTAAATTTACTGACGCGTGCTTAAGATTATCCCAATTGCTCACCTACTGTACATTATCCAACTGACTTCACTATCTCGTTATGGAGAAGTTTAGAGACATACTATTGTTATAGATTATATTTATTTCTATACGGCAAAAAGTTTGTACATATAAAAATTATTACAATTTTATTACGTTAATCAACATCTTGGAAAGTTTAGTTATAGAAATGTAAATTTGCAATTAGTCATATTTTTCCTTTTTTGGAAATATCCTCAATAAAATAATATTATTCATGGTCTCGGACTTATCTTTGTATGTCACACTATCAACAAACAAAAAGATCTTTATTCCCTTATATGTTATATGTATAAGGAATAATACTTAGTTTTTGCTTTTTTACTGACTTCTCGAAGAACTCAAATAGATATCAGAATAACAATTTTATGAAGTCAATATGAATAGTATATTGTTGTTGTAAGAGGTAATAAGGTAATTTAAATATTATTTATTCATGGATATATCTTTTTGTTTTGAAAAGCCACGAGAGCGCCGGCGACAGCGTCAAGTGTCGTTGAGCTGAGTGCAAGCTGCCGTGTCCCGCATGCGCTTTATAAGAAAGCCTTCCTTGTTATAATATAGCGCGATTAAAAGGCAAGAGAGCCCTTCAACCGTACATGAATATTAACATCCAATTATATTAACATCATTTCTGAGAATTCATCAGGTACAAATGCATAAATCAAGACACTTAAATACGTAATTAATTTTATTGTCATATAAAGTTCAACAGCAGTTAATCAGTGTTACGTTAACACTTTATTTAAAGCGCAGTTGTACAGCTTGCTTCGTTTATTTTTGTAGTTAGTGTTTATATTTACTTAAACATCAGCAAAGGTAACAATTTTCAGTGCTGGAAATGAGGGCGCGAGTACCGGTAAATTGCGTTACACCGTACTGAGAATGTATAGCCGTTTAGTTTCACGACTTTGTAATTTTTAACATTCTACAATTATTTTCAAGTGCATATTTACAGTCGTTTATTTTATTACTTCTTATAACAAAATGTCTAAAATGTAAATGCTAGTTCTGTTCTTCATACCCACGATTCAAATCTTGAAAAATATGGATACATATTTTATATACTTTTCGTCCACAAAATTCAAAATTACATTAATATATCATTTCGAATTTTATATAATCTACTAGAAGACCCGGCGAACTTCGTATCGCCCTATAATCAAGAAATATCTGTTACGTTTTTTATTTATATTTTTGGAGTTTACCTACCTATTAAAGTTATAAATCTCCGTGTTTTGAAGTGCGACAGAATGATTGGCATAATAGTTAGTTGTCAAAACTAATATAAAAAAAAACGTTTGTATAAACAACTATTAATAAATAAAAAATTAATTAAAAAAACATTGTCCAGCGGACAAAATTGTGAATCTAAACAATTGCCAGATCCCCTTGAACACACACAAAAAATTTCATCAAAATCGGTCCAGTCGTTTGAGAGAAGTTCAGTGACATACACACTCACAGAAGAATTATATATATAAAGATGTAATCATAGAAAAAGATCATAGATGAAGCAATATACTTTTCTTATTTTGTACTAAATACACCAAATTCTTTTAATTGATTAAAAAACGTAATTCTTGAATTCTGTTAGAAAAATAGACCATATTCTGAATAATGGATACTACAAGTACGTAATATAACAACCTAATATTCATAATATGCAAATATTTGTGGATAGAATATATCCTTATATCATAAAATACATACAGTCAAGACAAGTAAATGAATGATTTGCTATATTTCTTATAACATTGTGTATGATAAATTATTCTATCAAAATAGCTATAGCTTCTATAGTCAAGAGTATATTGTATTGTACAGATATCAGATGATGATCGCATGTCTTTGACGACGGCTGTATCTGATGAAGAGGATCCTGGTGAGAGCGCAATGAACTCTCCTTACAAGGGAAAGCAGACGGGAGCCGCTGCTGCCTCCTTTAACTGCACTGGGGCTGTGAGAAAGGCTGGGTAAGACAAAAGAAAATTTAATTAACTGCGTTATTGTATACTCCACCCAAGGCTAGATTATCTCTTCATTATATTATTAAAATTTATATTCGTTAAAGTTTTATGTCATTGTCTTTTGATAACTAATATTATATCAAGTGCCAAATAAGCTTTTTATTTATAAGATATTTGAGTATTTATAGTTATTCTGAGATAGGATTTTGCAAGGGTAATACAAACTTTGAAATTTAAGTTGAATAATATAAACGTGCAATTTAATAACTTTACATTAACGTTGGCATGAAAGCAAACAAAGTATTACGAAAGCACCTGCTTTTCTTAAGCCTTAAAATTATTGCAAAGGAAGGATGTTGGGAATGAAAAACAAAGAAAAGTGATGTAGTAGAAAGTTGACGAGTTTCTTAGAGCCCACAGCGTCCTTTATATTCCTTAAGGCAACAATTCCTTTTCCATGAATTCCAAATGACCGGAGGGAAATCTTAGCCGTGGCCCTTGACCCATTCAAAGACGCTGTAAACGATCAAATTGTAAACGAGATGTTACTCTTCGATGAGCTTGCACGTGAATTTATCATAAAAATAGATTAATTAAATGAATCGATGAATATAATAGAATTATCAAAGTAAAAATATTCCTTTTTTATATATTTTAATAATTGCTATCAATATTTTCAACCAATAATAAGTTATTTTATGTAGTACGTATAATCAATTAACAAGGTCAGTACATATTCTCCATTTGTCTGTTAATTTACGCCATTTAAAGCACAAATAAAATGTGATTATTTTTTTAATTTTAAGACAATAAAGGATAAAATTGTAACTTCCAATGAAATTTTATGACGGTCAAATGGCCAGATAAAATTGGAATGGAATTTTGTATAAATACCAAATTCCATCCCGCGGTTAAATGAGTCCAATAAATGTAAATTTTGCGGTATTATTGACATTAACAATTACGAAAATAGTAGAATTTGGATATTGATCGTGCAACTCCTGTTTGCTTTGGTAATGATAGTATATTTAATGTTTGTGGGTACGGTATATAATTAATTAGTATGTTCTCTTTGGATTAACTACCAAAAACAATATTTTTCTTCTTTATCTCTTACGTATGATGTCAATAAAGTCAAAAAGTTTTGAAATGTTTTATAAAAATGTCAAAACATTAATTATCTAAAAATCCTATGATATATTCCCGATAAAATGAATAAACAAATGTAAAAGTAGATACATTCAAGAATAATATGGCAAAAAGCTCCACATCTACGATTTTTCGAGTTAGAACGAATTTCAGAATATCGAAAATTCGAAACCGGAGTAAAGGTCCTACTCCGGTGAATGTTATTATATGGGCGATGGAAATGCTTGGAGGTCGAAAACGTGGTGTCCCTGTTAATAAAATACGTTCACTGATAAAAAATCATTTCTTGATTCCCTGTAGAAAACAGGACGTTGATAAAAAAATTGACACGGCACTGATGCTCGCTGTCTATTTCGGAATTTTAATAAAATCGGATAATCTTTACATTCTAAAAGGTGAACAATCGACATCACAGAATAATATTCATAATATTATACAATCTTAATTACAATAAATGCTTCTTAATGTTATGAAATAAATAATTTCAAGCAAATATTTTTTATTTAAACTACAATAATATGTTATGTACTAATTTGCTATTACTTAATATAAAATCTATGTATAACAAATATTTACGATATTAATGTATATTGTTTTTGAATCCACTATAGATTCTTAAGTGTGAAGAAATGGTTGCTGCGTAAAAAGCATCAGATTGAATTGGCTCGAAAACGAGGATGGAAAGGTTATTGGGTGTGTTTGAAAGGGACTACGCTATTATTCTATCCTTGCGATTCAAGAGAGGGGCGCTCTGTAGAAGCTGCGCCTAAACACCTCATAATAGTCGATGGTGCCATCATGCAACCTATACCAGAACACCCCAAACGAGATTATATATTCTGCTTGAGTACGGCTTTTGGTGACGCCTATCTATTTCAGGCTCCGTGTCAGGTACGTCAAAATACTACTTCTTTTGTAGAAAATTCTTGAACCAACTTCTAAATTATATTCATCCTGATAGGTGGAGCTTGAAAACTGGGTAAACAGCATACATAGTGCATGCGCAGCAGCTTTCGCACGTCATCGGGGTAAGACGGGGACGCTTCATTTACTGCAGGAGGAAATTTATCGATTGGAAAAAGCTATAGAAACGGTAAGTATATATTGACAAAAGATTAAATAGACGAGATTCCCGTAAATAAAGTAGATCGTTATTCAAAACAACAGTTCTGATATAATCATTTCAAATTACAATTTGAAATTATTATACCTGAGGAGTCGTTCTATATCTGTGGAGCGCAATCAAAACGTACAGAATACAATGCAGATATTATGCAAGGCCCGACCCTCACCGCATAGCATTGGCCTGAACCAACAGAAGTATTGTTTGACTGGCGTGGATCACTCACTACTTTCGTAAACCAATGGCTATCTTCAATATTCAACTTTATGACCTGGTTTTATGAGTTATAATACTTAGAAGAGCACTTCAAAGCTTCACTGCTTGAAATATGTACAATGTTACGAGGCAAAAAGCATTTATGCAGATAAATTTATTTCTTGTTCTCATCTCGCCTCGAATACATTTAGCAGCGGAAGCTGACGGAAATATAAGATAAAATTTATTTAAAAAACAAATATTCTTCGAGTCTTTGTTACTCTTAAAAGTAATTTTAGTGAGATGTAAATATGAAATGCATATTTTAAATATAAAACATGTGAACTACGGCTTAGTAACTTGGATATTATTTAATTTGTAACATTTGCTACTTAGAAGGATTTTAATAAACACGGTAATAGAATTTGCGTTTAATAATTAAATTAATAATAATCTGTTGAACCGTTTAGAATGTGACGATGGTGGTTGGTCTAAGCGTTACTCATGAAATTTGGGCCAATCTCAGACCCGCATTCTGTAACCGCAACAAGCTTAAACCCCTTGTGGAACTCTGATCATTACATGTTTGCCACATTAGAATGTATGCTTAAATTTGTGTTAACCTACACGAAATACAGTTACCTGTATATAAACACCCAATTCGTAGACAAAAGAAAATGTGCGACTGAATATTCGATCGATTGAAAATAGTCGATTGAAAGTTGCATTTGTAAACCAGGATATTGCGATTTAGTTGACTTTACTTTAACAAAGTAAGCTTGGTTTTAAATTTTTCTCTTTGACTCGGCTACATCAATGGTATTATATTCGTAAAACCAATATGTTTTATTTTACAAAAGACATTTTTATTTGAAAAAAACTCCAACTGTTATCTCAAATTAACTTTAATAATAATATTTTTATAATTAATACAGTTATAATCATGTGTCGTATTGTATATTGAGATATGTGGTGAGCAGGTGCGCATGTTCATTAATATTCATAGCGTTCCCGTGCCCTAATACCGAGGGCATCATCCTGTATTATCTTAAACTACGACCTAGGTTTCACTGGTATATTCATGGTACTATTTCACTTTCATACTTGTAATGAATAAAAATATGTTATTGTTTTAATTTTTATGTAATATTGTTATTATAACGTGTATTTAATTCGAATTCATTTTAATAAAATTCAAAAAAATCTCTAAATATAGTTATTTTTGAAAACTGAATATTGTATAAATATTTAAATTTAAATCATGATAGTCACAGGTTTCGATATTTTTGCTGTATTGGAAATAACTCGTCGTTTATTCAATGGAAATGAAATCAGTTATGGAATCTTTTTGAAAACAATTTCATTATCAATTCTGCTTGAGCGTTAACTACATAAGATTGGCAAACTGTTTTGTGATATTGGATATGTAATCAAAAGGATTAAGGATCAAAAGGATTAAGTATTAACTATAGGAATTAGTTCCTTTTTCTAAAACATACAATCAAATATTATTATTTGGTATTAATTTAAATATTAAAGGTTTTGGTATTCAGCAAATTATGTATCAAATAGTTATTATTGTACTAACATACTGTTTCTTAAATTAATCTTTCTATTATATGATAGTATAAACATATTCAGGTGTAATTTAATATAATAATAATAAAGGAATAAAATTTAAATTATCAATATTGTATATAGGATCACAAACTCAAACACATGGCGGATCTTCAGCAGTCGGTCGTGTCAGATCCGGAAACAAGAGCTCAATTGGCTGTTCAAATGCTGCAATGGGAGGAAAACCTTGAGAGATTGCACTGCGAACAATTCAGACTCCGGTGTTATATGGCGAGCTTACAGAGCGGTGAACTACCTAATCCTAAGGTACTCAATTTTGATGCCTATATCCTTCTTGAGAAGAACGTTTCATTTACTAAATGGTTTACAAGATAGAATCATAGGAAAATGTTATAAAATATATCTGACTTGGTCCCATTTTTTATATTATATATTAATATTGAATCATTTCTAATAAAACCATTCCGGAATGATATTGACAGCATTCCGAAATCTGGCTTCCAAGACGAAATTGACAGATTCGTTGACCGAGAGGAAGAGAGTATCTGTTACGACCCATGTCACGTCAATAAATCACTTTTCAACACCAGTGGTGACAATGATGTCGTGTTTTGATATTATTATAACAATTTTACTATTATTAAATATGTAATACGTCGTTGTTAATTAAACTAAACATAGTCTTTTTAAAAAAATATTTTAACTGTGAATTTTTAAAGTAAAATGTTGTCCTATTTCATGATGTCCAAATTACATTTGAACAAAATTGAGTTAAAAACATTTGTGAGTGACACTCAAAGAGAATGACTATGTACTAAATTGGAGACGCAATAAGAAAAGCAAATGAAATTTCTCAATTACATTCGTACACCATATTAAAAGTTACATAAATTCCTACTTTTGTCTACAATGTTTTCCTCGGGGTTTAATAAAGGGGTGATATAATTTGATGTTTGGTGACGTATAGCCTGAAGTGTATAAATGTGATTATTGTTCATGTTTTCAATTTGATGTCCCGTTATTTATGAAGTATGTACGTGGCTGGTCGGACATCGAGTGTGAATTCGAAGTTGGTCGATTGAGTGTGATGACTGTCCTGACATCGAGTGCGATGGTTGTTCCAAATATGATGGTTATTCCAGTCGCTGCTAACGCACGTATCTCGAGGCACCAAGACAACTTTGAACAAGCTGGGTGTGTTTACGGTGTCTTCATTCCACGCGTTCATCTGTGCTCGTTCTCCATCATTACTCAATAACTTACTGGCTGGCCGTGGCGCCACCAAGCGACGAGCTCCAAACCTGTCCAGATCAAATTCTGGATCTAGCCGACGTTCTATGCAGGTATTTACTAATGAATCGTGAGCGGTTTTATGGATTGATAGAAATATATATTTGTACTAGTATTTTAATCTTTTGAGGAATTTGAAATTATATATTTCTTTAATAATGTGGCGTATTTATAATTAAAGAAAGTAATAAAATAACAATTAATAATTTTATTTTTTACATTTATAAAAAGAAGCTCGATATGATATGTCTATCATAGAAAATATTGATATTGCATTAAAGATTTTCATATTTCCACTTTCATCTTTAGTAGTTTTATGTTTTGAACGTTCCAAAACTATACATAAATGATTTTTTTTTGCTCCCAATACCTCGTCTAGATTTAAATAAATTCTTTTATTTACTAAAAATACAAAATAGTCGTTCTTGGTAAATAAATAAATATAAATTCATCTTACAACATATATTTATCAAAACTCCAGCTATATTCACAAATTTACCTTTTATTAAAAAACTGTTGGCTATAATTTAACTATATCCTCGTCCTAATGCATTTATTCAAATTTATTATGAAAAAAAATATTTTCTACACCGTATTATACTTAAGTAAACGAACGTCTACAAGATGAAAAGTTTCGTGCTCTGTGTTATTATAGGAAGTCTAATATACATCGTCACGAAAGCGACTATTACTTTGTTACCCACAGCCGCCGGCTGCCTGTCATTAGGCATTTCGCCCTTGTTAGGAGAACAAATTACAAGCACGTCTCTATTAAGTAAAACGGTAAATTGTTTCAATGAAAGTCATGCAACCAACATGAAACGAATAAAATACATTATTTTGTATATTTAAATAGTATTTTAATATAATTAATTATGTTATATACTTTAATTACACGCTAGCTTTTATGCTAGATTTGATCAAGTGTTGAATCGGAAGATATATAATTAAATAGTCAATTAACTGATTGGCTATTACCCGGCTAGATAATTATAGGACTGGCGAAAACCACCAAATCATTGAATGTTACGAAACTATTTCCCGTTACGAAACTCGAAATGGGTCAAACTACAAATATGGTTGAATCAACAAACGACGGAATGGGATGACAATTCCGTTCACCGACGCAGAACACCTACTCTATTTGGCATGAACACTTGTAATACACATCGTCAAAATTTTCCCGTCATACAAACTGATGCTAACCGTTCCATAGAATAACAATTTAAATTTCTCTCTGTTACAGAACTATTCCCAATGTTTATTGTTTTTTATCCTAGCATTTAGAAATCAATTTTCATGCCCGGAATTTTAGTATAAGTGCACTTCACAATGTTTTGAAAGTTTTAAATGTTATTGCTTTTGTATATATTTTTTATCTTTAATTTACTAATTACTTTATTTGTGTTTCGTCACCATTGTGTGAAAAATAATTTATTTGTTAGAGCCGCCGATGACATTTAGTTTCTGGGGCCTAAAAATAAACTAATAAATTGGCTATAATCGCAAAACAAAGAAAGAGACCTACATAAATTATAACTTTTTACTGATACTATCATAACTTTTATTAATTTTTAACTATATAATGCATGTAAATCAGTTAAGCTGTGTTCTCATTTGTAGTCCTTGTTATATTTTAAACTAGAAATAAAATAATAAATTCTGCTCGTATCTATGAGTTTTACTTGTTTGTTGAAATATATTTAGTTTAAAAAAGGTTAATGACAGGTAATAATTTGTATGGTGCAGATGTCTCGTGAGGAAGGTGAAGCGGCGGTCAGGGTATCATTACCCGAGGGTACCACCGCTACTGTGGGCGTCAGGGAGGGTATGTCTGTGGAGGAGTTCCTTGCAGCCGCCTGCGCTAGACGATCACTCAACCCATTAGAGCACTTCGTCAGAGTTAAGAAACGACGGGATATGGAAGATCATAATTATTTTGTACCGCATAGGAGCGACCTCATCGAGACATATGTAAGTATTATATTATACTAATGATAAAGCTAAAATAAAGCAACATAAGATTTTCCATCACATACCTTCCACTTAAGGTGTCATTGAAAAATTTTAAAAAGGTATATATCTTTAATACTATATAAGAAACAAATGAGCGAGTCCAAAATGTATTAATCACGTAATCCGCGAACAATTTCATCGTAATAATTTACTTGATAAGGCTTACTCACTGGTAATTGAATAACTTGAAAATAATTGGGGAGGCTGGAAGTTTAAGGATTCAAAATTGTAATAATTGTATATAAAAAAATTTGTTCATAAATCTTGTTAAATATAGACCAATAAATCAAAAACTTGAAACTTCACTTAAATGTTGTTACAAAATCAATTAATGAAGAGTTTAAATTCAGCCATAAGTAAAATTGAGAAGAAACGCAATGCAGTGGAACTTTGATTGAAAAGGGTCTGACAGTTCATATTTTAATCCAGGCATCAATTTTATAGACTATGAGTTAGGATATAACTTGCTGACATATTAACGCACTTTGAATTGAATTATAATTTCCTTTGTTCTCTTTTTCAAAGCTAATTTAATTTACTGATACTTTTAGTCAAAATTTAATAAAGCCCCGGAATATTCTTGCGTCAAACTTTATACTTAGTCCTTCATCCTATCCCAAGCTATTGTATGACCCTTCTGAAATTGTGTTAAAGACCCATATCACATAGTTTTGAGGTGTAAGGTGTAGGAGCTCTAACTTACATGTTGCTTAAATGTCACTTACACGATCCCAAAACGTTTTATCGTTGTCATCTCTAGAAACATCTTATGTTAACAATGAGCAGAGAAATACAGTTATGTGTACAAAGCACATTATATAGGTATATGAAAACTAACAAGTTAGAAAAGTCAAACGAACTTGCCGGAGCTTACAACTTGCAAACTTTATTATCGGACAAATTCCATCGATACTTCTAATATCTCACTAACTATCTTAGATACTATTGTAGAAATAATAAAAGTATGATGAGATACTATTATTTGATACAATGCTTTTTCAAATAAAACAGCTCCATACACATGAAGTCGTGGAAGTATGTGCGAAGATTCTGTATCAAGTAGAGCTGCAACGGAATACCCTGGAACAAATGTGGGGCTTCAGTGTTGAGGCTGAACTCATAGAAAACGCGGAACGCCAAGACGAACTCTGCTGTTACGTCAGCCGAGTTGAGGACAAAAGCGTTGCTATGCAAAATGGTACGACGACATAAAAAGAATTTAAATAAATACAATACATATATGACATTTCCGAACGTTAAACCTTTTCGCAATTTTCCACTCTAGTTAAACAAATAGGCCATTTATTTTTATTTTTACATGTAGCAAAAGTTTTATCGAGTTTCAATTTCATGCGTTTTCAAATAGGTTTCTATATGAACAAATATAAAGAGATTCTTTTTTCCAATTTCAGATTTTAATAACGTAACTTTTATAAGCTTACATATTTGAATATCTTCATTACTCGAATTGTGAAATGACGAATATCATACATAATAATAAAAAAAATACCAATTATTTTTATTAGTTATAGGTTTGAATTATAATCAAATCCCCAACTCAATACGCGAACATAATATTTCCCACTCCATTAATTAAAACTCTTCACGGTGTTATTAAATATTGAACAGCCGAGTTCACAATTTATTTTACCAGGTATAATTAAAGGCGACGAAATAATGGTGATTAACGGGGCGATCGTATCTGACCTAGATATGATGTATTTGGAAAGCGTATTGCAAGAGGAACTCTCGCTAGTTATGATGATGAGGTAAGTTTTTTTCCCTGACAGATTACCATTTTTATGCAATTCCGTCGATCGCCGGATGGGTTAACTTCTGTTCATTAATCAACTTTGCATGCATTCGTTAGCATCGATTCGCATAAATTGGTTTAGTGGTGGAATTCGTTATGGACTTCCTGGGCTTTGTAAAAGGACTCTTGGGATAAGAGGAGCTAATAAAACGGAAGTCAAAGTGTAGCACAACGCTCCCGGCTGGGATATAGCGCTGGGAAGGCTCATATCGCCATTTCCCGCCCTCATACACCTGACCTTTGGACCGCGACAAGTTTACTGAAGCGATCGCGGCGACCTACATGCTCCCTCCTAGGGTGGCTATGAAGCAGATTAATGAAGGACTCGTCTGGATTGAATCATAAAACATATAACTCATCGTTTTCTTTTTAACTTAAAAACAACTTTGTAACTTCGAACATTTTTGCAATTCATCCTGACGTTACCACAATTTTAAACTGATAAATGTTAGTCTGCGTATCATTCCTGATACCGCTCTTTTAATACAACATAATGATGTTTATACTTATATAAAAACACGTATATAAAAAATGATATTTCATATAACTTTAAATTGTTGTATTGAATTTAACGGTAAAGAAAATGTTTGCGTCATTGGGTCCTGTAAAGTCAAAAATAACCTGGCAGCCCTACTATTCACCCTCCGGCCCTCAGCCCTCTCACCGTCCATTTGTGTCTCCGCGAGCGAGCTCTTCACGTGCCGCGTGAAATATCCCTACACAATTCTTATATCGAATAAACACTGAAAATGCTATCTTTGTGAGCTTCTTTGTCTTCAATTAATTAAACCTTTCTTGTTTACAACGCATAATTGGTGAGTTTCCTTAATATAAGTTCACTTGTTTCCGATAAGGCGTTTAGGATACTAATGAAAATCAAATTACAGTATGTCTCTATTTAATTATACAGTAATTAATAATATAATATGTGTATTCATACTTGGTTGTTATATGTATACAAAGAATACAAAAATTATCGACACAATAATAGTAGGCTTATATGTCTTCGCTAAATATAAAATCGATCTGGAGACGATATTATGAAATAGCCAAATCCTGCGTGTGTTTATAATTAGACCCTTTCAAATATGCTTAAATAATCAATAAATAGAGACTTTCCATATAACATATACTGATTAATTATTATTTAAATATGACCTAATTTTTTCGTCCTAAAGGGTTTAAAATATGGAGATTGACATTTTTATATATTTTTATGATTAAAGATACCTGATCGTACAAAAACTATTGAGTGAACAATTCACTTATAAATTATTATTGATGATAATCAAATGCTCAACATTTTGTTACAATTTCCAATGGAATAAAAGAATATTAAATGAATGTAAGCAAAATAAAACGATTTATATATTTTGTGATAACTGACTGTTAAACAAAAAAAAAACTTTTGTCAACCATAATATTACCCAGATCTTTTAAAAGAAATTAAACTGATAATTTAAAATATGGTAATTGATTATTGCAGGTCACAATTGGTATGAATAATCTTTCTTACATTTTACAGACAAAATCCAACCCACATTGTATTAAAATAGTCTCTTATTCCTCCCAAGCACGTTTATTAAAAAAAGCATGCATCAATATTTTATTTTGTCAATATATATTCCACACAAAACAACCCTCAATTCGACATCAAGTCCAATTAAGGTATGACTATTTCGAAATGATTCCAATTACTTGAGGAAACAATACAGATATTGCGGTTTCATTATGTCACTTTTACGCAGAAGCCTTTTCATTTATTTCAACCTACTTTCTCTTGGATCTCTAATTTAACCACTAGCGCTCTAAACGTAGAGAACAGATGTCTATGCATCATGTGATTTGCATACAAGTCGGCTGAAACGGAACTAACGGAAATAGATGGCACGATGCGCTCAGCCACACGGAATATAATGAATTTCATGAATGCAAATAATTTTATAATTGGATTTAAAATGGGGACGGACAGTGATTACTGTTGAACTATCTAGGACGCTGAATGTATCTGATGGACATTTCAGAACTACATACGTATTAGTGCATGTTTGATATGTTCCTGAAATAAAATTATTGGAATGGGAGCTTTAGCATGACTTTTTAAATTGTGTTTAGAAATAGAAAAGGGATTTCATAACGAAACATCAAAAAGTATTTATATTTATACATCGTATTATTTACAAAGGAAAAATAAGTATTCAATAGCATGTAATAACGTTAATGGAAATAAATCATTCTAGGAAATGACATGGCAAACACAATATTAATTTGTTAAGTGAAGGAATTTATTACTTAATTAGTATAATTGCACACGGATCATATTAAAATAGCTATCGATTTACCAATGAATTGATAAGATTTGTTTATTTATTTAAAACATTTCATTCAATATAATTACTAGGTATTTTAATGAAAGATAATAGAGTAATATTTAAAAATACGTAATACAGGTCATCTAGAACGGAGCCGCCAGAACTAAGCGGAGTAATGCGAGCTGCTACAGACGACATAATCGATTCCTTGGTGTGTCCGCCGCCTCCCAGCGAGCCTCCAGTCATCTCCGATGACATGATATCAGGACTCATCGTACCAGCTCCCGCATGGAGTAAGTATCTAGATATAGTATAGATATACCAGATATAATTGATAAACATTCAACAGGACAACTGAATTACCTTAATAATAAAATGCTTTGATTAAGTATAGCTGAAAAACTCAAAGCATTGTATTTGGTATCTTTTGTATCTAATACAAAATGAGATACTGCATTTTCAAACGATTACATCATTCAATTACCATCAAACATGATTATTGACGAGCTCCAATACCATCGCTATATCGAATGCACGTTGTTAGCTAGAAATGTGAAAGCAAGCACAGAGCACTCACTTTCATATACGTATTTCCGACCTGCAGCTTTCAACAACCATAGAGGCACTTAATCCCTCAAACTAACGAGGCGTCATGTTGGTAAAATTAAATTAAATCATAACGAACACTGCTCTATACTTGTATGTATGGTGAAGAGATGCATACACGTAACGAGATATTGAACTAAACTTGCAGTGGGTACTGTGTACAAACTCCTTAGGAATAAATATCCATATAGTTTATAAGGAACTTAACGCTTCACTCAATTTTCATGTCTACATTTAAACGTCAGCTTATGATTATAATACTGTTTATTTTCCGAATTAATCTTAGACTCCAATACGTTTCAACTATTATAACAATAACTTATATTAATAATGAAAGACTTGTTATAAGAATTTATTTATTTAATCTGCTTGGAATTACATATTTTGTAATCGTATTATTTGCTTCGCCAGCGAATAGAAATTTTTCGCCTACATAATATTTGGCATCGGTTCCGACTATCTTCAAATTTTATTGGGATCCAATATCATGGCTATCAGCCAGTATCATTAGAAGTCCATCGAAAGATTATAATAAAAATCATTCGGCTTTTATATTAACGATTCTTGTTTTTTATTTCTTCTAACCAGCAATTCTGAGTTTGTTATTATATTCCGAGCGAACTATATTATAGGTACATTCTTTTCGAGTGAGAATATTTTATGAGCTCTTTAAATTATAACATAAGAGTGTTATATACCGGCAAATACATCTATGTACTCTTAAAATAAATGAACGTGACATATATTTTATTGAAACGTTTAGTCCTCTATGAAACTCAGCTATAATAGGCATTAATTTTGATGGATATATTAAGAGCACTTGCATGGTTTTGTCGAGTTAATTACAAATGGAGTTCTTTGTTCCCGTGGATCGGTTTCGCTGTTATAGCGTGGTCATTATTTTATACAAGTGAGCCACAATTACAACGCTCTTAAACTATTCGCTCTACAATTATATTTTGTTTCATAATTAAAAATGACACTAAAGTCTTTGTTTTAATTTTACCGACACATTACCTTGAGTATTGGAGTGCTTTAATAACATTTCTTATAATTTTACGTGAATTGTATTTCTGGAAATGGTTTATGATGATTCAGTGATTAAGGTTACGCAACTTAGCCAAAATTTCGGGAGTACGTAGTTTAAAATAATAAAAAAACGCGTATGTAGTAATACGACAATATTAGTTTTATTATAAAAAAAAATCTCTCGAAAGTCTTAGATCTTATTATGGTCTAAAATAGTAGGTTTTTGAATTTTTTCTTAAAACTTTTAATACATACCCTTTTCTTTTTAAGTTACACTTAATATTTTCGTTATAATTTTTATAAATATCAAGATATCTCCTTATGTATTCTTCACATAAATTCGAAAACAAACGTTATATTCTTTATAAATAATACAACTATTGAAATTTTTCTAGAAATAGAAGACATTGAAAATCAATTTTATAAAAATTTCCTTTCTTTAGCTAACTGGTTAGTGATGGACCATTAAACAAAGTGTATCTGATGTTTATAAAGATTACATAACAATACAGGGAATAGCCGTTCTACTCCAATAGCGTTTTCAACTTAATAAATTGCTTCTCTTCCTTCACAATAGAGGAACAGCATATCATCGGAGAGTTAACGTTTTCAATTAATTGTCTTGAAGTCCTCTTCGATAAAGTAGGCGATACAAGAGGGTACACCGAACACGAACTACATTGTAACCCCATTCATTTGTGATGAAGTAGTAATTTAGATCACTAACCTGGATAGCAAATCAGGTTTCAGAATTGGAATTTAGAATTGCCAATAAAATAGAAAATGAAAAAGCATATTTGTATTAATTCACAACATCATTAACGAATTTAAAATGTTGTGTTCAATAAGACTGCCCTCCTCGATTGCTTTCATAAATAAAGATTTATTTGACAATTAATATATTATTTCATACAAGAAATTTAACAAGATGTTTCCTTCGTCATATTTTCTGCTTTCATTATAGTTCTGACACTATTCTGCAAGAATTTCTCTATATAAAATGGAAACTACATTCCACTTCTATTTATAGAGAAATGTATCTAAATGTATATTCTATTGTACGTACTTTAATATTATCACATTTATGCACGAAGTAACTCTTACACGCTTAGAAGTATTTTAATATAAATATTAAAAATACGAATCATAAAATTACTTTTGTCATTTTTAGTAGAAAATATTTCTATTTCAAAGAAAACTCGGCATGTGTCATTTACTGTTTATTCTAAAAAAGTATTTCATGTATGACATGAAATGTATATTTTTATTTTTAATATATGGAACTAAAACGGTTGGAATAAAAAATAGGTTACTGAAAATTCAAACTAACTTGAAAGCAAAACCACTCATCGCGGCCTCCAAATAAAGGTCGTGACCCTTTCCGTAGGCTGTTTGCTTGCGCCTGATGTCGACTTACCTCGACCAAAAAAACTCATTGTGTCACTTCTTATCACAAAGCAGGCCTGGCATGAAAGTTGTAATTTTCTCACTGACGTTGAAATCTGCTACATTTACAAAATATACCAGCAGAATTATTACGCTATTTGACCCTCCGTCTATAGCATACTTATGACGCAGCTAAGTGTAGCAATAAAAGAAGGATTACTTTATAACTCGTAATCAACATTTTTCATAACTAATAATTTTGTTCTCTTTATTTCATTTCGTTGTTAAAAGTATGTTAGGTGAAAAGGTAATAATTACATTTTCGTTTTCACTTATGTGGTTACGAGGCAGCTAAATATGGATTTTTTACTTTTAAACAATTTGTTTGGTAATAACGAAAACAATAACTTTTCTTTATTAATGTATACAATTTTAAAACAGGCAAAGAATTATACAGTCCGGAGACAGAAGTTCATGGAGAAGCAACTAGTACGGGCCCACCGAAAGTAAGCTCTCGTACTAATTCCTTCGAGATCGAGAACCTACTCAAGGTACTTATTAAGGATGCCTTGACTCAAACGCTTCTCCGCTCATTCATACACTCTTCACCCTCCAGAATCGATGTTTCAATTCTCTGTAGCATCGTATTCTCTCGACGGCTCGAGTACATGCTTCAATACGAACCCAAACTCTAAACGATATCAATTAAACCTTAATTGACATTTCCATATTCTAAATTATTAGTTACGCATGCTACTAATCCAAAAATATATTGGATCTGCTTATCTGCACGTCAGGCTATCATTCATGTATTCATTAAATTCAACGTCAACGTTTCCAAAGCCATTAAGGCTAGCGTTGAACAGAAACTCGTCACATAACATATGCGCTGCGTAGTAATAGCTTTGATATGGGGTGGGTATAACTAGAAGTGTGGACGTGTCCGTGTGCGGCAGAGCGCGGAGCAAGTGACGGGGTGGTGTCGTTCCCCTGCTGACACCCGCCGTGGAAGTCCCACGGGCAGCACCAGCGCCGCTGTCACACCATCAAGGCACCTGTCGGACGCTGACAAGCTGAGGAAGGTGCTTATGGAGCTTGTGGACACTGAACGAGCTTACGTCAAGGTTGGTCATCATTTTCTTCTAACCATCTCTTTCAAATTTGATTCTGAACTGCTTCATAACTTATGCTACTCAAAGAGACGTAACAGATCATAGAATAAGCAATTCCAATCATGTTTTTCAACTACTATAGTAGATAGTTAGAACATATTAAAAATATTTGATAGTGATAGTAAGTTTCTCGTTAGACTTTCTGATTTAAAATCCTGTCCAACACTAGAAATTTCTTAAGCTATTAATATAAGCATATACTTATTTACACTTTTACGAAAACTAAAAAAGCAAGGGCACTTTTTGACAATTCTATTGGAATAAGAGCTTTGACAAATTCCTTTTTTTAATGTAAGAAAAATGATCAATATTACAATTGTATTTTAACAGATTTTTGACATTTGTTTCTATTTAGGTCATTTATTTAAATATTTTGAGTAAACACAAGCTATTTTAAGAATCTAAAAACTGCGTATAATTTTCGGGTGACCCGTCACACCCGATTACCCAGATAGGTTTGTGTGCTTTGGAAAACTCGTTTTGACGCATGATTAATCTGCGTTCTAATAACGAGTGACAAAAATAAAATTTCTTATTTTTCTTGATTATTGATAACATAATTAAGAATTAATTATATTATTTTTTTTCAAAATTTTATTATAACCTTAATTAAATTAATATCATATATTGTTCTATTTTTAACCATCAAAAGTAATAACGTGCTTTCTCTTTCAAGTCATAAATAACAAATGTGACTATTTACTAAATAATATTGACCCCATTATCTATTTCATTCATCATTGTAATATTATGTTATTAATGTGAAAAAAGACAATGCCGTCCAAAAATATCAAATTTCCTTGTGGACTAAAGTAAGTTATCAAATTATATAATAAATTGCGATTGACAGTAATAATATTATCCTCTTGGCCTTCACATGAGAAGCAACTTAACGAAGTTGTGGACGAGACTGCGAATTAATTTACGATCAATTTGCTTCAACTTGTAATAGTGTTTTCGGACTCAAGGTTTAAGATTTTATAAAGAAAATATCTTTATAAAATTGATTAATTTGTAATAATATTATAATATTGAGATTATAATTCAGCTTGAAAACTTGTTAACTAGACAGCCTGGTGGCAAAAAGTTTTAGTAAAAGTAAAGTCTTTGATGAATTCGACACCTGCGGACCTGTCTAACTGTCAATCTAATTAAAATATTTGCTCCTGCTAAAATATTTCATAACTTTAATACTTGCAGCATTTAAACAATCTATTGGAAAATTACCTTGAACCGTTGAAGAAGGAAACTTTTCTATCAAACGCTGAAATCAACGCTCTGTTCGGAAATATTCAAGAGATAGTAACTTTCCAAAGACAATTCCTGCAAAACTTGGAGGAGGCGCTCGAGGCCGAACCGAACTTTAATCATTTCGAGTTTTCAAATCAGTTTAAGGTAAATATTATACTGTTGCTCTTTTTTAATTTTCTTGCAAAGTCATAACACTTTTTCAGGATTATAAGTACAATAAAAATGTCTCATAAACACTTATTTTATATCACGAATAATCATTTCCTTCGTAGAAGTGAAACATTCTTTGAATATTTATAACATTTGAAATAAATTTCCAGAACGTTCTGTTCGCTGTTGGAAATGCCTTCCTCTATTACGTCAACCATTTCAAGTTATACAGTTCCTTCTGCGCCAGTCACAGTAAGGCACAGAAAGTTTTACATCCAAGTGAGTTCTTGCGTATTTTACTTAAGACTGTTTTAAAAGAATTTATTCTTAACGAATAGTTTTTATAAAATATTTTCTTATCAGATGAAGGAAATCAAGCGTTACAAGAATTTTTGTCAGCTCGTAATCCAAAGCAGCAACACTCTTCAACGTTAGAGTCGTATTTAATTAAACCAATTCAGCGAATCCTAAAATATCCATTGCTTCTACAACAATTGCGAAACTTAACTGACGTAAATTCAGAGGAACATCTTCATTTAGTAGGTGAGTCGCTTTAGACGTTACATTTATATCTGAAGAAAAACAGATTGCTCTAATAAAAGTTAATACGCAACTTTATCGTTATTCAATAAACGCTCTATCGCAGAGGCTTTGAAGGGAATGGAAAAAGTGGCGGAACACATAAATGAAATGCAACGAATCCACGAGGAGTACGGTGCTATATTTGATCATTTGTTTAGACAACACCAGAAATCATGCAAACAACCGATCGACCTGAGTCCTGGTATGATTCATTTGACTACTCATCATACATATCTTTGAAGTCTTTTTGTTAATGTTTTGAAACTTTCAGGAGATCTGTTGTACTATGGCGGAGTAGAATGGTTGAATATATCAGACTTTTTAGGTAAAATAAAGAAGGGTTTGGAGTTGCACGCTATGTGTTTTGTATTTAAATCAGCCGTTGTCTTCCTTTGCAAAGAAAGACTGAGACAAAAGAAAAAGTTAATGGTGAGCTACTCGCTTTTTAAATATTCACATTTTACCGCAATTGTTTCGGAGTAATGAAAAATATTACTACCTAAATTGTTTTTAAATCAGTTTACTTATATAATGATTTAGAAGTATGTCAAATACTTTAAATATTTTATAATTATTTATATTATACTACCATTCATAAGCAAGCTTCAATGTGTGTTATTAAATTTTAAAATTATTTCAATTTAACTTATTATCAGGCGTGTATCTACTAAAATTATTCGAATCCGGAACTATTATGACTGTTTGGAAAATAATTCATTGTAAACGAAATTTTAACTTATATCGTGTACATAATCTATACAGGGTGTATCCACAAAAAATAATTCGAATGAAGTGGAAATAATACGTTATCAAGTACTTATACCGGTGACGGAGGTCCAGGTTCGAGCGTCTTCAGCTAAAGACATGGATAGCCACTTCCTTTGGGAACTCATACACCTGAGGAGTCAACTGCAGCGGCGCTCCGAGAAAGTATACGTTCTGTCTAACAGGTTAATATACACAATTATAATTTTAATATAACATAATTCCAAAAATTGCAAAACATTTTGAGTAAAAGCAAAGATATTTCATAGGAAGGAAATATTGTACATCTTGTATTACATTCTCCAATTTTTTTATAAAGTGTTTTATAAATTATATTCGATAATTATAATTTAGTATGTTTACGGTGTTACAGTTATAAATTTAAACAATAAATAATTTTTTTTTTGGTCACCTTAAATCACAACCGTATGTTACATTTGGACCACTTGTATAGTCGCTTAGAAGTATGATAATTCTAAAACGTCCTAAATCGTGTAATATGAATTTCAAATTCATTGTCTTTTATTGTAATAAATATTTATACTAATATTAAATTAAATATTTACTTACACTAGTACGGCGGACTTCCGTAACGCATTCCTCAAGACGATCAGACAGATCATTCGGGAGTCGGTACGCAACATGTCCCTCCCGAGTTCAAGGCCTGCGCCTGCGCCACCTCGGGCGCCCAACACACTCGACCGACCGAAACATCAGGTAAGTCTAGTTCAATAAATTTAAAATCAACTTTCGCAATTATATTATTTTATTTTATTTTATTGCGTGTTATAACTTTCGATTTAAGTACAGGTAACCTTTTAATTTTTTTTTCTATTTTTCGAAACGTCGCTTCGGGTGAAAAAAATTGTAGTTTAAAAACCATCAATCAAATCTGAAAATACATATGTATGTCTACTGTGTAATGTGCAATATAATTTTCTTAGGTTCAAAATGAATTTTTCTTCTATTAACACAGGTACATTTTTGAAAGAAAACAATCACGTGTTTGAACTCTTATGTATCCTTTTTTTATACTTTAAATTCATATATTTTACAATCTTGGAAGAAGTAAATCTGTATTAATTTAAGTCTCCGTGTAAACTGACGATATCTATTTAATTGTTTAAGTATAAATTCCATTATTATCAATTAGATACACCACTTTATTAATTTTTTAAATGTTATTATGTGTAAATAATATTCAATAATTTATTAGTGTTTTCACCGGCGTTCCTTTCGGCTTAGTATTTAATATTACTAGAACTATATTATTACATTTAATTTTTATAATGTATTTGCGATGTAGCATGTTTTTTCATTTATATGAGGTTTTTAAAACTTTGCCCTTACTAGAATGTTGCCCTAAAACTATAATGTGTATTTCGGTAGTTGAGTTTCAAGTGTCTATTACAGATACAACTCAGCTGCCACTTCCACAGCTCAAATTATGTTGCAGATGTTTATAAACGTCAGTAACTACCTAACATAGACTCTGCCAATTATTAAGAGGCCAATTTTCAGCAGGATAAAAATGTTCAATTTAATCTTGAAATAACTGGTATATACATCAATGAATAATGTATAAAAGTACTGAGACATTACCTTTGATAGTAAATTTTCTCGAACTGCATTCGATTGTAGACTAACTTTTTCTCATTAGTCGATCGTAAAGTTTGACGTGGAACTCTTTCTGAATTCAGGTAACTTAGAAAAGTTGAACTGCTCTATAAAATGTACGTTAAAGTTGTGTACAGCTTCTTTACCTTTATTCTGTGAACCAGGAAGGATTAGAAGATTACATCCGTTTGAAAATCTATGTCAAAGTTTTTACACAAGTTGTCAATAAATGATTTTTTTAATTTACGTAAACATTAAAGTTAGTCAGTTTGTTTTTAGATCTGAAAATCCATCTGCGTTGTTATACATCTACAAGGCTTTTCCAAAGTCGAAATCTTAAGTATACATATATTTTCAAATTGTTTTATTAATTTATGTGTGAACGTGAAACAACTTTTATCATAATATATATTCTCCTTTACGAGTATAACATTTCGTCAAAACAGTTTCCCCTATTATTTTCAAATGTAGACTATAAATTTTAAATATCTTATTAAGATAAATTAAATCGAAAAACTAAATTAAAGTTTAAAGATTATTTATATACAATACACAATTATTAAGAAAAAGAAAATCACCACAAACATATTTTATATTACACCTTGAAGAATGATATTTAGATAACAAAAATAATTACAATCCCTATTATCATATGGATGTCAAGATTAAATAACGTATATAAAATCATTTAAATTGCTTAATGTAAATTTTCTTAAATAATTTTAACATATTATATGTAATTTTTCAGATTAATTCTAATTAAAAGATTTTAGCATTTAACAATACATCATTTTAAATTTTAGGTCCAGGTAATGCAGGGATCGCAAACTCTTGGCAAAACAAAGAAACCTAAAACGTCCGGCCAGAGATTGTCTGCCGGCAATATAGAGGTAATGAATACTGTATCTTCAACACTTCGCATCATTAGTATAGAATAGCTAGGTAATATTGAAGACTAGAAAGTTTTCTAGAAAATAATATTTTCAAATTGTATAATAGGAAATAATTATATTCGTGCATAAAAACACGTTTTATAATTTCTTGCTGTATATTTTATTAATCTTAATAAAATTTTATAATAATATGTTATAATGTATTTTTTTTCTTGCTTAATTTTGTTTAAACAGGATAATACCAAGTATAGGTTTCTTCTATATTTCTCAACATTTAAAAATATCGTTAGGTTGGTGATTTATCTCGTGAAAATTCACAAGACGCAGAAGAACCTCCCCAAGTTTCGGAACTGTCGTCTGATGAAACTACATTCAGACACAGAAGCAAGACTGTGGGGGACGCAGCAGGTAAACCATACCGTACGTTCACATCATTTTCAACATTTTTATAACGTTATCGTTAATAAATATTGTCCATGTTTTCATATAGAAAGTAGATGGAGATGCAAAGATGAACATGAAAGAAAAATATGGTATCATGTCATTAAAACTATCATTAAACTGAAAATTTAATGAACTTTAAATAAAGTCAACAACAGAACTTTGTGTACAGATTTCTTTGTTCCTGAAACTCTCATTCATCAAATGAAACCTACCACCTATAAAAGAGATTTTACGTCGGTCTTCAATTTGAAAATAAAATACAACACCAGAATATGGAATAGAATGCCAGTTATAGAAAATTAATCACTACAACAGGTTTCACTACCAGCTTTCACCAACACTATAGGAATAAAAATAATATATATAATATATGAAAGTAACAAAGATGAAAGATATTTAAAAACTGGAGCAAGTATCATTCATATAGCTAATTCTAAGAGCAAAATATTGAAATCATTATTGTTGATTAACAGACAGCATCGTGAAACGTCCTGTTCCTTCCGCTGCTACGACCACTGACACAGACAAGTCTGAAGGGGGTTCCAAGTCGGAGGGTGAGGACGAGCCGCCACCGCCACCCGCTAAGCGAGGGTTAGGACGCACTCCCAACCATCTAACCCTCAGGTACCAACATATGTATGGGCGCACACACCTACAACATTCGACGAGTTTCAAATATCAAAATTGTCTATACTCATACATATGTCGTCGCATGTATAGGAACAATGTCTGCCGACCTACACCTGCTCGTAGGGGAGGATGTAGGTGCCGACCCTAAGAGTTACCTATGAATGTACATCATGCATGTCAAGTTCTTGACTCAATTATACGATATAAAAATTGAGTTTTGTTTGAACTAAATAGGTGATATGGGCATCCAACTAATCCCTAACGTGAACAATATTTTCAGTTCATTTGAAAGTTATTATGTCTGTTATGAAAAACCTTAGTGCATGTTCCATACTATCTAAATATGTGGATAACATTTGTACTTCAATGATTACAGCACGACTTCAACACTAAGCGCTGGTAGCACGGGTAGCCAGGCTAGACTTATTCAATCGTCTCACCAACCAACACAATACCAGCCCACAATGATCAAAGAACTAGGTAAGCAAGGATCACAGTCACTGAAATCATCTCCAGAAAGGAAGTCTTCCTCGGCCTCTGATAAAAAGATTAAAGTCGTACGATCGGGCAGTGGCAGCAACATCAATAGGGACAGGTCACCAAGCAGACCAATAGAACATATCTCCCCAGACAGAGATTGCGTGACCAAAGTTATAATTTGCAAATCCCCAAATAAATCTAGCTTGAAACAGAGCAAAACTCTCCATCGTTCCCCGAGAGGTAGTTTTGATTACTCGAGATCCCCACGTGAATCTATTGATAAGACTCGTTCACCGCAACAGAGTTTCGATGGCTCTAGGTCACCACGCGGTAGCATCATGAAGTCTAGGGAAAGCAGTCTAGATAGGGCAAGGTCGCCTAAACCTGCTCCGAAAAAAGGCATAATGCGAACCCCACAAGCCAGTTTCGATAGATCACCTTCTAAGTCTCCAAATACTAGTCGGCGTTCCTCAAAGTCTAGTGAGAAATTAGCAAAACTGGGTACTAATTCATTAGATAGGATGACCCACTATTCGCAACTAGCCAAGGCTGAGGATAAAGCCATTAAAATGGGAATCGTTGTATCAAAATCTACCGAGTCAATCGCCAAGGCTATCGAGCATCCCACGTGCGTGGAATGTTACCTCTCAGGGAAGCGAACTAAAACCTCTTAGCATAAGGGGAAGGGCAGACTGCCCAAATCTCGTCGAAAGTCATCGACCCAGTCCATACTCGTGACATCAGATCGCAGCAGTAATGAGACTTTAGATGACTTCAACCACGAGCGCGGTCATTGCCCTTCCTCCAGACATAATAAACGGAATGACTTCGATCAAATCCATGTTTAATTTTATTTGAAAAGTTTTTATATTTTAATCTTATATATATAGAAGTTTATTTTTTAAGTTCTCTTGACTGAATATAAGAATTGAAATGTGAGACACCGACTGATGCTGCTACTGCTCGCTCGTTATATATAACTAAAAATGGAATTGATTAGAGGAGATAGAGGAAAGTTATTTAAGAATTTATAGTTAGTTTATTTACTTTAAGATTTATAATAATTTGTTTTCGTATTAAGTAGATATTTATTTTACCCGTCACAAAAGGTACTTGACTGAAAACAAAACTTGAAACGGTATGATTCAAATTACGTATACGTAATTTTTTGCTATAAAAATAACATAAACAATGATAAACTCCACAACTCGTGAGAGAAGTATTAAAATACATAGCAGTTTCATAAATATTGTAATCGTGTAATGGAATTATTGGTAATATTAATGTACTATTGTAGACTATTTTAGACTCCAAGTGCTAAGTGTTACATTTTAATGGCTGTGGAATCGAACTGATTATAATCCTTAATCACTTCCTCATAGTTTTATCTTATTATTAATTTTACTTTGTAAATAATTATATTAATTAATTCCAATTAATAAATTATTATTATTACTATATTGCCATGGATTTGTACCATTACGTCTTCCATTTCTAAATATCTGTACTTACGACGTCTGTTTATTTTTGTTATCGTTTATTCTGTGCCTGCTCAAGCTATATTAAGTTTACTATTTACTACTAATCACTATTCTATTTAACCTTTCTCGGCATAAACATATATTTCCCTTCATATTTTTCGATTTTTTTTAAACAATCAGTAGATGCTGCAGCAATAATTATTGCATTTAATGAAAAAAATATATTAATCATATTAATCTATATTGCATGCTATTATCAAATAAATATTTACTCAATTGTCGTATTAAAAATAGATTAGCTATGAAATGTTTAACATAACTACATAAACTATTCTACTAAAATAATAATTAATGGATAATAGTAGATGAAAAATATAATCAAATAGCGAATCAATTAGTATTTAGATGTGCACTAACTCCCAGTAATATATAACCCTATAGATGATGCACTAAATAAACTCCGACATTTTGATATATTGGAAAAGTTATATTAAATTATTTATAACCTGGTGCACCCTATATTATAAAATATTTAATAATTAATCGTAATATAAGATATGAAATTATTCTATCAGTAACAATTTTTTCACCGCCGAAGCTTTTGAATGTTCGATGATAATGTTGACCTCCGAATTGGCGAACTAGCTGCTTTAAAGGGCACAGCGTGAAATGCTTTTTCTATCATAGTTTTTCTTATAACACAGGCCCGATGTATGTAAATTGCGTCTAGAGTGAAATTGCAATAAGACAAATACAAATGTATGAAACTTTAAAATTTTATGATAACATACATTGCAATTTCACTTAATCGGCGTCAAAATAAGGCAGACGGGGCGACATCGACAACATTCATCAAACATTCAACTCTTTGCCGCGGTAACCTGGTTGCGAGTGAGAATGAATCTAAATTGTCGGGACTGACTGACATCGAGGACTGGCCTTGATATGAAAGAGTTCGGTGTTTGGTGTGTTGTAGGGTCGCCCGTGTGGAAGCCGCGGGAGGCGAGCGGGGAGGCGGGGGCGGCAGTCGGGCTCTCCGCCGCCGCCCCTGCCCCGGCCCCTACCACGCTACCACGCTCACAGCGGCCCGTACCACGAGCGCCGCATCTCTCCGCCAGTCGCAAGTCTCTCGCGCCGGACCACCGACACTAACTTCACCTGTCTGCCTAACACATTTCGAATGACCCATCCTCCCCTGTCTTGATTCTCACCATCTTTACACTTGAATAACTAAAGAAATATCCGCCTTTAAATATTGCAACTCGAGATCCGTTTTCAATTCCCATCATTCACCGATGAGAAATGATCTACCCTTGCGTGTTCTTAATTTCCCATCCACTTGCAACTTCCCAGCGGCGATCGCTATTGATCACTCAGTAAATATTTATAAGTAGTTAGCTTCTATTTGTCTGTTTAGTCTGTGACGCGTTGCTATTTCATAATCTTGTACATCTCGATTGTACTTCTGCAATTTTTCACAGACTAAAAAGACATGCATACCTATATGGATAAATAAAATCAGATTTAATTAGCTAAAAAAATAGTAATTACGAAATAGCCAACTTATTAAATGGCACATCTCTTTAAAAATGTAGAAATTAATATTGATCATCGACTAAGTATCGATCTATATATGGATTTGAAATTTTTGTTTGTTGTTTGCACAATCTGTAATTTTAAGCGTGAAAGCTTTTTTTTATTTTAATTATTATTTTATTAGCATTCATGAGATGTCTTCATGTAATTGTAATTACAATCCAATTAATGTTATTGTAAAAGGAATCAAGTAAAATTGTAAAATGGTTTCGGAGTTTGGAATGGATAAGTCTTCGGTGTTGTATTACATCAGATTGAAACATTATATGACGTACCTTAATAAATGAAATTCATATAGACCTCACAAATTTTGTTTATAATTATTAAAATGGACTTCTAATTTTTTCTAACAATATACAATAATGTTGCGTGAAGCTCAACAATGGTTTAATTCTTCAAAGCTCAAATATATTATGTCGCCTTTAATTCTATCAGATGATAAGACTGCGTGCGGCTCCGTTGTGGCATAGAAATGTTTGGATATGTAGGTGTCTTTTAAAGTTTCTTCTAAAAAATATATATCATACAAATCGATTGTTCGATTTTGGGACATAAAGTATAGCAACTAGTTCGACTAACGGTTAACATTTACTCGAATATCACCACTAACTATACTCTGATAGTGAATAAGTTTAATGTATTAGATTTAAATAAAATCTCCTTGTGTAAGCCAAATCTCATAAAATAATGACAATATCAATAGAACAGAATGAAACTGTTTCTTCTATAAAAATTATTAGTTTTGTATGTTGTTTTTATCACTGAATATATTTTATTTTCAATTTCTTCGTATTGTTTCATAATACAACATATGTTATACCTAGTAGTATATGTTTTATCGTTCCTAATGATAACACAATCTGAAATATTAATGTTATTTGTATAAGCATTGATGAAATCTACAGTTACATATATATTTATCTGAATCGTATGAAAAATACGTCTAATATCGAATTCCATATGGTATAATGTGCCAAACTAGGTGTCAATACCAATGCTTTTTTTAAATAATCACTGTTAACATAGTACTGAATAAATATATCGTGAATGTAGTTAGCTGTAATCTAAGCGTTTCATTTCACATTGGCAACGCGATCACTTAAATACCCTATAGTTGAAAATGCACTTTACCTAATGAAAAAAATACACTACGTAGTTTCTCTTCGTGATCAAGTTCGAAATTTCTATCATAGGTTAGGTGAATAACATGTAATCATGGTTTAATTGTTTCTTTACCCATTGAGAAATAGACGTAAAGTTATTGAGTTCAAGTAGGTATATCACCTAAGCTGTTGTATGAAACCTCCATGAAACTGTAAACTGTTCAGATACTGCTTAACTTTAAATTTGATTGAAAAATTTAAATACAGATAGAAATTAATTTCCTTCCTTATTTTTAATAATATCACCATGCCTTAATGATATTAAATATTACCATGCCTTAATGGAAACACAATTCCGTTTATTTATTTATAAAATATCAACAAGACATAGAATAACAAGTTAGAAAAGGATTTTAATTTTCGTTCCTTCAGTCTCTTTCAGTTTACAAATTACATCGGAGGTTTCAATATAAAGTGTTGAATGTTTTACAGTAATTTTGATATTTATTGTATATTATGTATCAATACTGTGTAGATATTGTAATTATTTATTATTATTATTACACCACCTAAATACATATTTCAATTATATTTAAAAATTTTAAATATCAGTTTTAATTGTTTTTTTGTGATTGATTAAAATAAAACTTGTTTATTAATATACATATGTTAAAATATTCGAATTTAATAATTACGAACTTATACAATCAATTTATAGATATTGTTATACTAAGAAAATATAATTAATAAAATTAATAAACAAATATGGGTGAAAAATTATATGAAGAATGAGCTCATTAATTGCGATTGTATTTCATACTTCAATGACATTTGAACGTAATGTAGGAAAATGAATGAATATTTAGAAAGACTTATTGGAGTAAAATACGAAGGTTACTAATGTTATAAATATTGTACTTTTATAATTTCTCCTTATATAATTTGCTGTCACATATTTTATGATCACCATTTTGTCAAACTACTTATATCACTTTCAATGTAGTTCGTCTTCTTCGAGAACATCAGTGGCATGAATCCAACGGTTTAATTGAATAAAGATTGTTAGTTATATATAATTTTTAACATAAATAAATATTTTATTTAGTAATTTGCCTAAATTTGAAGTGCCTTTACGTGTTTCGGACGATAAAAGCACATATTAATTTATTACAATAGCTGACTTGTCGATCGTAGTTTGACGAAATGTTGCATTAAAAGGCATTATTTATGTTAAAATTTATGCAATTTTCAATGACTTCCAGCGATATAGTTAAATCTAATTTGTAAATTAATGTACGCATTCCTATTGTTTTGTATGTATTGATATTATAATTTTATGACACATGGAAAATTACTTTTTATTGCTTATGAATAAATATAAAATGTATATATTGGTTATTTTTTTATTACCATCCTTAAATCAAAAAGAAATCCTTTTACAACGAGTATTTTATATGTATCTCTAAGTCGAGATAAATTTATTGAATAAATATTAATTATGTGATTCTGTATAGTAATACTAGTTTAGAGGGTAACTTTAGTAGATACTTGAGAAAAGAATGAAATCTAAGATAAAGGATGAACTTACTAAAAACCTTAGAGCCTGATCTCACATATATGTTGATCAATTTATAAGTGCCACAGCCTTAATGTCTGAATATGATGAAATATCCAGGCGAATTTTAAATATAATGAACAGCTTTTATTGGGTAGTTTCAAACATTTATTGGAAAGACATACCAGGAATTTATAATCATATTCCATCTGGAAATAGTACATCATTTGATTATTCATAGCCAAAAGTAAATGGCATTACATAAATTAAATATATAATGTAATATTAACCATTTATACATACAAATGTATTCATACTAAATTATTATAATTCTTTAGCAATATAAAAAAAATAGAAGAAAGTGATACCACTTCTATATTTCTCCTTTATCATTTTGATTATACAGGAAAAAAGATTTTTTTTTTTAATAAAAGACAGCTACTCGGTTGTTTTTTTATAACGATGCTTTTTAGTTTGTATTGTTTTGTCTGCTCGGGTTCAAGTTTTATATTTTTTTGTCATTTCAGACTAAGGAGACGTCTTTTAATTGTGGTAATTTCGAAAAACCGACTCCAACGGAGGAATCATTGGGACGGGACGAAAAAAGTTAAGCGGTGACCGCTTAATTATTTGTCGTGCTAGATTTTTTCTTAGTGAATGACTGGAACTTGAATTATTTTCAGGAATTCCTGTCATTGAGACACACAGGATTCGAACCTGTAACTTGCGAGATTTCTTATCCAGATCACTTAACCAGTTGAATTTAGATACGCGATGGTCACTTAACGAAAAAATACACTATTTTCATCACTTTTATAGACGAGTTATAGATATTTAAATAATTTCAAAAATGTATGTAAACATTTGAATCTTCTTAGATGAACCGATTTTATATTATGTTTGAATTAAACTGCATTACACTACTAATATCAGCATACTATAATATTATGGTTTGGAAAACATTTTATTTGTTATGTGCTAGTAATAAAAATTCTTTTAAATCTTGCTTGTTAATTTTTAGACTTCAGTTTTTAATTGAATAAATGAAATCTGGTATTCGATATTAATAATATCCATTAATTATCCTCTTCAGAAAGAAAGGTCATTTAATATTAAACGAATGTATATTTAATAAACGGAAATCAAACAATAATTTCAGTAAAATGTGTTTATTTTAAATTGTACATCGACGTCAATAAATTAAAATTGTCAATGGTTCTGTAATCGTAACCTTACAATTTGGTAATAAAACATTATCTAAATTGATATGAATCAAATATTTGAAACATAATAAAATATTTACATGTCACTAATAAAAACTACATTAATACCGAAACATATCACTTGTTCTATGATAAAATGTCGTTCAATAATAAAACTACATCAAAAAAATGTTTAGCAGTCCCCGTAGCTATTTAATGTTCAACTAAAATTCTACCCGAATCGAATCTATTCAATAACACTGTAAACGATAGTACCTAATATTTCATTTTGTACTGTTAATTAGAAAGTTAAAACACGACACAAATCCGTACGACCACCGATAACTAAAGTTAAAGTCACTTCAATCAAGATAATCAATGAAGAAAACAATAAAATCATATATGATAATGGAATATTATACTGCATTATGATACTAACTCTGATGGTAGACAAAATTGTAGGATAGTCAAACGGAAGCTCTAAATTATGTGAGACACTTAGCATATAATAAAATACGTTCTGTACAACTCTACAGTAAAAATTATAAACTCCTAACTTAAATAAATAACAATAGGACTATCTAAGGAGATGTATATTTTATATACATTATGTGGCACTGACTACATGTAAGTAATGTAACTAAATATAAAATAGTATCACCGATGACTATGCATTTGGAATGATATTTGGAAAGAGTAATTTTTATTCCTATTTTTAATAACAACTAAACGTTTGACTCTCGCAATATTAACTACTTTGTAGAAGAAGTTTTGTTTATGTGCTAAAATTTAAGTATAGCTGAATCGAGATGATGACATTAAAGTCGGATGCAATAAACTTTTATTTGCGCAATTTTGACAAATGATATGATGTTATACATATGAAATGTATGTAATATGTCCACTATGCAGTATGACATCCGACAGTAATGACGAAGAAGTATTGTGGCAACTTGACTAAACCTCAATTTTGACTAATATCTAAGTAACTACTTCATATATTAGTAACGTATCATCAACTAATTATTAGTATAACACTTGTTACGCATTACAAAACAACAGGTTAAATAATATAATAAAATATAAACAAAAAATTAAATCTCAATACTATAAATATTCACACAAATGAAACTCTTACTATTAATATATAGATAACAAATTCATTTGTATATGTCTATTGTATTTATTTTAGCGCACACCTCGACTGAACAATATATTTTTATAATACGCACGCTATGTGTATATGTTAAATAACTTTAAATAAGTATATTATCACATCTACTCAATAATGAAATTCTCGGCTTCAAAGAGGATTCATTATACTATTAACTATGTGGTGTTTCTTCAAATTAGACTAGAATACAATTCTTCATCCTAATTTCATATATTAATTACATAAGGCACTCCATTAATTTTGCTGATTTGTCGAAAGAGGTTAAGATACAGACACTCACAGACATTCAAATAATCTTTATCAACGAAGACCCATGGAAGTTACATGTTAGATATATAATAATTTGCTATGAGTAAGATGAACCAAACACACAAATCACACATACTGTTGAAATACACCAGATTGCAAACATAATATACATTTCTACTTTGTTACTGGCTTTTAAGATTCCTATGTATTTAACTGTAACTAGACTACGAATTCATCAATCTCATTTATTTTTGACCTTTAAAATATATCCACCAGATATTATCACATAAACATTTGCAACATTCACTATGACAATAAAATGTGTGTTAATGGCTGGTATAATTTGGAAAAAAAAATGCTTGTCCTAATCTATAAAGAATTGCACAATGAATAGGAAAACTACAACTAATACAAAATATGACGAGATCGGTTTTGGCAAATATTAATCAATTAGTTGTCTTATTTGAAATTAGGTCCAATATAGATAATTTCATAAGAAACTTACAAGAGACACTTCGCATTAAGTGAATGCAATGAAATATTTAGAAGTTTAAGTTGTAATTTGTAGACGTCAAAATCACGCATTATTTCAATTTGATTGGACCCTTGCACATTTCTCAAAAAAGCTGTCTTACTCATAAGTTATTAATCTCTTTATAAATTTAACTACCTAATATACTTACACGTCTTTCATAATTCTGTATTAATTTGAAATGTGACCGCGCGGCGCCTTTATTACCCCATTTAAACATTACATTAATATTAAACGTTACCTTTTTTTAAATAATAATCTAATCAGCATTTCATCTTAAACAAAATGATTTCCTATTATCCTCTTTACTAAACATTGCTCTACTTAATCTATGTATAATAATTTAGTAGTATATATTATGAAATGCTCGATAATAAGAAGATGAAAATTATACCTTTCTAACGTTTATACTGACGAACTATTACGAACCAATTGACACTACGATCAAACACTCAAAGTCGACATGAAACAAGTCAAAAGGTTTATTAGACTATCTATAAATAGTTTAAACGCTTTTACAGAATTTTCAATTTCGATTCGTTGAGCTTATTGCGCGAAGGTCGTGTACGCGACAGGGTCGTGTATATTTGTCTAAAGTTGGTCCCTAAATTGCTATTGTAATAATGATATTAATATATCCATAGCGAGACGGGGCGGTGGGGACGCCGCGCGTACAGCGGCCGGCCTCTCCAGTTAAAGGCACATTTAATCGTGATTCAGATCATTTTTCTATTCTTTGCCATATCTACCTAAATTTCCTCATCACACTCTAAAAGTTAATCTTTGACTTTCAAGGTTTTTCTAAAACTAGTCAAAGGGAATATCTATTATATAATATTATATCATATGTATATGAATTAAAGGTCACACCACTCCTTCAGTACTCGACTCGTACAGTTTAAAAATTTGGTATCACATCCTAATTCTATGATATCGAAATATTTTCGACACCGAGCTACTCATTTTGGCAACATGGTGGTGGAACTAAAATTTATATAATTACCTAAAAGGCGAATCGCCTCAAATTAGCACTAAGGTGAAGAACCTTCCTCAAAAGTTGTCTTCACATTTTATTTCCTTTGGTGTAGGCTGCGAGGTCCATTGCTCTTCGGAAACGCCTTCCCAGTCGTGAAAAGACTCGAATACAAAGTTATCTGATGAATCCTCTGCATCGTGAACCACCTCGGCACGACTGAAGGCCTCGGCAAATTTACCTATCTCCGTCGATCCAAAGGCTTGTTGGAAGGCGGGTAACGGTACTACTGGAGGTCGCTTTTCTTCAGGAGGTAGACGCCGCTGTTCAGGAATAAAAGATTCACGTAAAGGATGACTCGGCTCTGGAAGGGGGATGACTCTTCCGTTGAAATCGTGACAACTATTTTGCTTAACTCCATTATCTCCGTTATAATGAGATTCATCATACACTGGATAGGGAGTTGACCTTCCTTCCTGAGGAACCATTTGATTTTGTATTTGATGAACATTAGAACCCTACGAAGAAAAATATATCAAAATCAATGATCGGACGCATCTTGGCTTACTCTATAATATTTTCCCAAAAATACCTTCATTAAGCGACAATCAGACGTGTAACGTACGGGCTCCCGCAAACACATGCTTCGCGTAGACCACGACCCATTTATTGTATTGGCCCCACTCCAGCCTCTGCCACTCATCATTCCCATCTGTAAAATTAATATTTGTTAACTAAATAAGCATATAATAATTAACAAGACGAAAAAATGTAAACATTTCATACCTGATATGGAGACCACATCTGTGGCTCGCAATAAGCAGGACCTCGCCCAGTTAGTCCACATTCTAGAGGTGGCTGCGAAATTATACAAAACTTTAACTAATAATGACAAACATTTTCTGTCTTTAATATCATTAAGTTTGATACAAATTATATTGTTGTTAAAAATGCTAAAGATGAAATAATAAATTTCCTGAATGTTTCAGGTGAATAAGGTTTGATAAATCCTAAAATAATTTGCTTATGATTTTTATTAAATCTATATTCAAAATTACTTCAAATTATTTCTTATATTTTATTTTTAAGATTATAAGATATGAATTGAATTCGATAATATAATACGTACATAATATTGTTTATATAGAAGTAAGAACAGGTTCAGTTAAAGTGTATACGAGTGTGGCAAACGAGCCGTTGCACGCCGTACCGATGACGATGAACGAGCAATCGATAACATTAACTCGACACAATCAATGCCAGTCGAGTTTACTTAACAACCTTTCTTACGAGCTATTTTTATTCATGTAAGCTAAATTATATAATATCTATCACATTTTATGAACATGATATGTATTGTTAAAATCAGAACAAGCTTATATTTCTTAACAGCAGAAAGAAATGTAAAAAAATTAACTACTTCTGTTATAATTTTTGTATCATATTCTAAACGTGATTGCCGAATAAATCTTTAATTTTAAAAATTTATAAAAATGCTTTGAACCCATACGTTGATATTAAAACAAAACAACCTATACTATAATTATGTAATTCTAGTAAGTCTAAAAGTAAAAAGAGTAAGTAATTGTAGTCCTAAAGGATGGACAAGTATTATTAAACATATAAGCATTTATGAAGTTTAAAATAAAGCTGTGAAAGGGAAGTTTAAGCACACAATAACACTTAATTAAGGTCCAGATGTGAAGAGAGTAATAAAATCCTATGTCATCGCACTTTCACATTCAAATTAAAATCTTAAACAAAAGGTAAGTTTGAATTAGAGTTAAAATAATACACGAGGAGTGAAGCTCACAGTCAATGAATAACGGTTAATGGAAAAAATATTTTAAAACTTTTAGCTTTATATGTCTATATCTGTCTACAAAAAAGTTCATGAATTTAATATCTTTTTATGAAACTTGTTTCGTTTCCAAGTTATATAATAATTGTCAAGGATCGGAAAAAAATATCTATATATATTACACATACTAAAAATACTATAGTACAGTGGTCAATACGGAACGCTTGTCTTTTTACTTATTTCAGCGTCCTGTTTCATAAAATGCTTTTATTGAAAACTTAATAACTCGATTCAGTAGTTGAAGGGGAAAGGATCAACCAAGATAGAAACAAAAACCAAATAACTAATTTCTACACTCGTAATTCCTTCAGCTTGTCTCCTTATTCTTTATTTTGCGCAAGGGTTCCATTGTAACGGTGTACAGTCTATGTATAACCCCATAGACACTATTTTACAGTAGAGTCCCATTAAAATCCATTCAGAAGTGCCATTGATTACCCCTAGACAAATAGAAAGACAGATAGGGAATAATAGAAAAGGTTGTTGATGTCTTGGTTTCATTTGAATAAGCAAAGGAGAAATGATAGTCATTTGTAATCCACGCTCAATGAAGTTATTATAGAAACCACTTACCAATTTCAGTATATTTAGAATTTATTTATTCATAGTACAGCTAATACTTAAATATATTCGTGTTATAAATATAGAAAAAGAAAGTGAAACGTTGAAAGTAAGAGTGAAAAACTTTTGTCGCAACTAATCTGTTTCTGCTATCTCAACTTCAATCCAGTATTTTATGTATACTTAAGCGTATTTAATTTTATTTACATACAGCAACGCGCCCACGTTTGTAGCGAAAGATACAATGAACTCTCACTTTCGAAATGCGATATTACTTTCAGTTTTGTATTTTAAACTGCAACATAAATAAACATCTATTTTCTATCTGCACTATTAATATTCTAGTGAACGTGTCTATTTATATCGTGCAGATTTGTTGTTTGACTTTTTAATTTTTGTTTGGAGCGATCAATTTTCTGTCCTCATATAAGAGTATACTGTATATATACGAGATAAGGTTTAGTGTGTTGGATGTGGGGTGAGGCGGCGCGCACGATCGATGTCCGACACGGGGCTGCAATTCTGCGTTGCAGTCACTGCATCCATCACATCTTAGAAAATACCTGAAGCTCATTTTTTATTTGTAATCTGACCTATGGTATAAATAATATACATATGTATGTTATAAAAATCTTCCAAAACATTTACGAAACAACCGTTTATTTAATTTTTTTACTAAATCATTGTATTGTAATAGTATTTGAAATTCATGCATATAATTTCATAGAATTCGAAATGCTAATCAAATCCGAACATCATAACTCGATGTCATCGTGAATATTAATATTATAAACCTTCAAGTAAATCATTCAGTTGCCAGACAGTTTGTATTTGAGTAACATAAATATGAAATTTTATTTTACAAATTAAATCGTATAATTTTAAATGCTCTGTGATTTTAAAAAGCAAAGTCCCACAATGTGGTGTAGTATACATTATGTACCATGAGAAATTACGCAACGCTTCGCGGTGAAACTAGTCATACGGTACATTATAGTGGCGGGAGATTTTGCGGAGGCTAACTATCGAGCGGCAGCGGCACCAAGCGCGAACCACGTGACTTATCGATCAGCGCGCCCACGACACTCGGAAAAATCAACCGCTGACAGCCTTCAGGCACCCCACACCCCGCCGCCCTCATTAACGCCTTTGTACTCGCTAACCATAATATAACCATAATGATACCATTTACAAGCACAACTTCCGTATAACATAATCTCATTTTTGTCGTAAACTTGTATACTGTTTCAGACCATTTCAGTCAGACATTCGAGCCTAATTAACTTAAGCATACCCTTTCTTGCAGCGATGTTTGACTAATTAAATTAATGCACCGCGTTCACGTGAGTTTACATTTTACAATAATTTGAAATTGTAATAAACTTTTATCCAAATTGATAAACAATTAACTTGAAATGCTTATATCGTTACGTATAGTGATTAATTAATTTACAGTCCAGAAGCGTCAATGAAAATCCACAGACTAAAGTCAATGGCCTTTCAATTAAAACAATTTATAACAGAAGTTTAAAATCGTTCCAACAGGACGAAAAGTGAAAATTAATACATGTTATACAATTTCAGTCACATTTTTGTTAAAATGAGCCTTATTCTCTGTATGTAGAATTGATAACGGCTATTATAAAGCGATTTCGCGATGGATGTTATATAAATGTAGACTGTCCTCTGACACTGACCTATAAATTGTGAGGTAAACTCCGCAGACCGCAAAAGATATTTCACAGTCGAAAAGTGCGTGAAGTGGTTATTACCAAGCATAAAGATTTTAGAGTGTCTTTTGTGGGAATGTTTCAAAAGAATTTCCACTAACATTGTTGTTCCCTGTCTTTACGCAACACTAACACGTGTTGAAAGAATTATTATAAACACCAACACGCTGTTTATGTAAAATGTTTTTAAAGAAAATATTAATTAGGAACAACACGTAATTTATATTCCTTGGTCTATTTATTAGACGACTTTTTATTGTTCTACGTAGTTTTTTATCCTTACATATATTTTAAACCTTTTATTGAACCTTTTTGTTATGAAATTTGATGAAAACTCGGAAAGTGCTTGTTTGTGAGTTTGTTTTTAAATGGTATTTTTAATAATATTTTATAATTACCGTGTGCGGTAGAGGTAAGTGTGTAGGAGGCAGTGCACGCAGCTCCCTTCGTGATAAAGAACGACGGGATCGAGCTTCCTTGACTGCGTATGCGCCGTAATCTAAAGAAAACAGAATATATTAGGGATCTTTTAACTTTTATGATGACATTAATTCACGTAGTAAATAGAGTATTTAATATTATCAATTATTTTTCTTTCATCAATCCTAAAATATAAACAGGTATTGAACTTCGGAATATAAGTCCCTGACATGTGTATATTTACCATGTTAAATTATTAGACATAAGTAAGTAAAATTATTGAAAACCGTTTTTCCTTTCATTTGAAAAATCTTTCTATAAAAAGCTTCTTTAGTAAAGTTATAATAATTAAAAAAACAAAAAGAAGAAAGGAATTAATTTTATAGATGTCATAAAAGTATTATCCGTCTCTGATTTCAAACGATATAATTTCACATTACTTTTTAACGCTTCTTTTATGCAAATGATAAATAAATTACAATACAAATTGTTTACTGTCGACATCGCGTTTAATCGCGTGACGAAGAAGTTCTATTTACATATTAATTATTATGTTTATGTGACAGCCGACTCTGAAATGTTATCCCCTTAATATTAATTTCATATAATAGTTCAGTATGAGATCGAGCTGGTGTATTGCAAAGCGCAATATAGCATAGCCGCATAGCTACAAAGTGGGGACGGCTTGTCGTACAGTTGTTGAAGTTAGGCGACGCGGGTGCTAGCAGCCCGGTCAATATGTAGAGTGTTGTATTCTTGCGCTGTGCGGCAATCAATCTCTCTCGCGCATACCACCTGTGGAGCGGCGACCCCTCCCTACACGTGACGTAGGAATCCTCCCAAACGTAAACATTAATACTTACTTCATTGTTCAGAATGTCGCTGCGCCAGCCGTGCGGATTCCGATCTCGTATTGGTAAACAATATACAAATGATTCAACTGATAACATCTCGTCGAGACTGTCTTCGTCATTATTTAGTTATAATCAATCACCATTCGTAATTATTTTATTATTATTTTCCTCTATTAATACAAATTCTTTATCGTTTGAAAGTTTCTTTCGTCTAGAATTTTTTATAGTTTTCCATGATTAAAAACAGGTTGTCTTTTTTGTGTTTAATTATTAAGTGTTATACAATTATTGCACATGATATAAGCCGCGTGTCATGTTAACGTTATAAAACCACGTATAATTAAATTAACATAAAAAGTTAAGCTCGCTAACTGAAAGTTAAATATTATACTTAGATATATTTCTATTGGGACGTTTTAAACTGTAATGTACGGATTAATAAAAATGTGGCTTATTGCAAAAATATTGAATATCTGCGTCTGTTATTTAATATACAAAATTATTCCAATATTAATTTCATTAATGTAATTTACTGTGTATGAAACAAATTAATTACTATAAATTGCGATGGGTCCAGCTTTAATGTTATACAAAATTTTAGTATGTTTTAACAAACGATTATATTGAAAATTAAATATTATAAAAATGCGAAAAACTTGTTTGGAATAATTCTTAGATGAATAGAAAATTCAATGAATATTTTTTACGGCTGGAATATTTGTTTCAAAAGTGCATTCGATGACTGAATAACTTTAAGACACTTTAAGGGATAATCGAATAACTTATTTCGATTCTTGCAAATATTTATTACTACTAAGAAAAATAGTTATACTGAAAGTTTCTCACTGAACTCACTACAGTAGTAAAATATGAAGGCATGTATACCAACCCATGGGCATGGCATGTTCATTGTGGTGCATGTGATGCGCGTAGTCATATCGGTAGTAACGCGTGTAGTCGTGCGCGTGCGGCGAGTAGTAGTGGTAGGGGCCGTACGGCATCGGCGGGTACCCGTAACCCTCCCAGCCTGCGGCCGCACCGCCGTACTGCCCGTAGTTACAGCAATCCATCTCCCTGCGCTTACGCAGCCGGCAGCGCGCCCGCCCATGCTCGCCTGCCGCGCTCACTCGACCGCATCTCACTTATAACACACTCTCATAACATACAAAATATATATAACAACTAAAACCTACATCCCCAACACGCCATGTAACTTTGGTACAACTGTAACGATCGCGTAAGATCGAACTGCTGGCGGGAAACGAGAGCGGCGACGTTAGCCGGCGTGAAGAGGTCGGTCGAGTTTGCCGGCGACGAGATTCACTGTGCAAGGGGAGGCGTGTGGTGTGTGTCGGGGGCTGAGGGGGTCGCGGGCTGCGGGGGACGGGGAGGGAGGGGGGGGGCGGAGGTCGGTCGCCGCTCGGCGCAGCGCGGCGCCTCGCGCGACGGACGCCGACTAAAGGCGCCTCTGAATCGATACGCCGCCATACCTGCCCGCGCCCGTATTGCGCGCGAACTTTGTCTTCCTCCACGAAATTTTTATATTTAGAACCATGGTGGAAACAATTGATCAATACTTTGCACTATTAATTAGTGTACTCCCTTTCGACAGTTCAGAAGTTGTTGTTCATATACGTTTCACTTTTATTAATTTCTGTTGCAACTTTATTGAACTGCGAACTATGAATTAAATAAAAAACTTTTTTATCATTTATATATATAACTAATTTTTTTTTTGTTGTCTCGGCTTTGAATTTATTTTCGTAATCAAGGTTTTTATTAAATATAGTTATCTGAACCTATCTAAAATTTAATAAATTTTTGATTATAACTTAAAGTTTTAATTTGGCATGTAATCAAATATTTTTTTACAGGATTAACTGAATTAAAAGTTAATTATTTATTTTACAATTTTAATTTATTAATATTCTCAGGTAAAGAATTGTTAAAAAGTTATATAGATTTGCGCGTAGGCGGCAGTGACCCACATAGCCAATATACTCATGCGGCGAACCACGCACCACCCTTTGTCCTTCAACGACACCTCGTCATTGAAAACTCCATTAAACCACCGAAAATATCCCTAAAAATAAATTATTTTATTAAAATACATGAAAAAATATCAAAAACACAATAACTTCTTAAACAGTCACTGTAGAGTATCTTTAAAATATAAACATATTTTTTATATCCATGAAAATAATTCTGATATCTGACTTTCATACCAGACCTAATATTTAGTAACATCAAAAATCGCCAAGGATATAGAACTATACAACTAATATTACTAAAATAATTCCTGTAATATAAACAAAATGCCCATTTCGGCCCTTTGTCGTAATAATGTTATATCCTATACAACCTACATGCTGTCACCTACATAGTTCACAGCCTCACATCCAGCCATGATCAATAAAGATTTCTATTGATTACTTCGCTAGTTAACCAAAAGATAAGATAGCTGAAGTTTTATTCGGCTATAGCACAGGAAATAGAAATATATAGATTGATGTAACGAGAAAAAAAAAAAACAAAACATATTTTGATTTCGCGCCAAGTATTCACCAACTCATAAAACTTGCATCGACGCGCGCATTTTCAAATTGAATCTAATCTGTATTATGAATGAATTAAATTGTACGGAATTAAACTTTACCGAAACTTTCTTGTAGGTATATTTTACTGAAATTTTACTACAAATAAAAATACTTGCAACATAATAGCTTGAAGAATAAAGAATAAATATTAAAAAAAAAAAAATAGAATATTCCATAGCTGAACACGAATCGTAATGTTAATAAACGAAAGTGAAACCTGAGATAAGTGTCCTAATGATATGTAGTAGAGTAGAGAAGCCAAGCGCGGGTTATCATGCAGATTGCGGAGAATCAATAGGGGCGGCTCGGTCACTGACGACGAATGACGATCAATATCGTCCCAACGGAGCTGTCTCTGCATTAAGGGGCTTCCTCGAACGCCTTCACATATATCCTACGAGCTATACACTTCATATTTCACGTGCTGCGGAATAAACAGACGACTTTTAAACGCATGCAGTTTCATTAGGATTTTTTTTGCTTGTTATTTCCTTATAAGTTTATCGATTCAATTTTTATATCTATAGATTCATACAGACATGCAATTCATTGGTTTCTGTAATCATTAATTCGTGTATTTTCTATCGATAGATAATACGTTAGTTTCAAACACGTATTTATAAGTGCAATCGTACTTCTGATTCTATGTATAATTTTTACCCGACTGCAGCACAACCTGAGAGGGCTATGTTTCGATTCTCCACTTTTCTGAAGTGCCAATGATATGTTCGTTGCTATTTATATTTATGTTAAGCAAGAAGGGTTGCTCTCACATTTACATTGTCATAAGTCGTGTTGTCTAATGCGAGAAATAGCTTCAAACAAGATATGCCCTTCCACTAACAACTGATTCACGTGAAAGCAGCGTTTCGTCACCCCATGTTTCAATTAAAAAACAAATCAGTATACGACTAACAAACCCCTTTTTGCATGTATCTGTCTAATTTTTAAATTAGGGAGATGTTTAGCTTTCTACCCAGTACGTATCTATTGTATTGAGAAATAGAAATAAGAAAGAAAAAACTACTGCTAAATATATTATTATTATTAATTGGCTTATTTCTAAGTGTCTTAAATTTCAAATAAACCTTTTACAGTGTCACCTCTTTTAACTTTTTTAAGTTTACTTTTAAATATCATACCTAGTATTTAATTTTTTTAGTATGTAATAACTAATTCAACGTCAACCTTCATAAATAACCCACTCAGTGATGTTGGATTTAAAGAAATGTTACAATATTGCACTCAAAATGCTCTATTTTGAAACTTAATTTTTAATGTACCCAGTTGAATTCGTGTAACCGAAACTAATATAATACACAATCTATCAGAATAGGGTTGTCCGTTCTCTTTAAATGAAAAACCGTAAAACACGGTCATTTAAAAACATGTATGTATACAAGATAGAACAAAACCTCCTTTTCTGGCTTCACAGCATTCGGTTAAAGAAAAATACTGGAAGCCATGAAAACAACAAATTGAAACTCAAGTTTACAGAATAATTTAAACATTTATACAGGGCTCCAATGTTTGAAACAGAAGTAATTTAATTATTAAAATGACCTGAGTTACTATGGTATTATTTAATGTGATATCTTAAGTTTTACAGTAATATTAGATGTACGCGACAAAACTTGCACCCTACTTCAGACTTACAAATCCAACGAGGGAATAATTCGGATTCATATTTCAATGACTAATCCATGTGTTATTGAATGAATTTGATATTTCCACTTATATACAATACATATATTTAGTATTAATAGTAATAACCATATTATAGAACCTAAATACTAGTAAAATATCATAATAAAATACTAAAAAATACACATTTAAATTTTGGGGTTCATATTTACATATAATTGTTAGTTCTTCATGATAATTTAAATTGGTGTATTATCAATGTGAACGATAAATAAAAGACTTTTTATATGATTTAACCGCCACCTGGACGTGGCGCCCTCAACTAAACCAACTCACCTGATCGATAGTTAGCAAAGAAAGTAAGCATTACAATAGAAAATGTACTTATGTTCTTACAATATAATTATGTAACTAATAATTATATAGATATAACAATAAATTTATTATTCTATATTTTCTATATACACGTGTTTATTAAGATATATTTCGTTGTAAATGAAAAAAAGATTGATGGAATACAAATAAAATATGAATGAGTCTGCTACGTGGTTCGTAGATCCGTAGCACATCACTGCTACGTACCATTTAATGCAATAATACGCTGAAACGTGATCGTTACATTGTAAGGGACAATGGAATATTTGAACCAATAAGAAAGATACATTAAAATAATATAAGTTATTGTTATTTAATTACATATTACTCATTAATAATACAGGGAAAATTGTTTTTTTTTTTAATATTATAAAATTCAACCTTTAATTTGTTCTTTTGTCATGTCTCATCCTTGATGTAAATAACGTTCAGAAAATTTTAATACATATTTTGAAGTTATAAATAATTACTATTTAGATTAATAACTAACAAAGCCAGTCAAGATTTCAGAGAATTTATTATTTTTCAGTTTTGTAGCAAATTTAAATAGCCCGTGGTGGTTTTCGTTTTATTTATAATCTAATAAAAAATATTGTTAAGATTTAAATTATTAATCTTATTAATTACTGTCTCAGAAGTGTACCTAAATGTCATTTCACCGCCATCTATGAAACTACTTATGTAATTAAAATGTTTATTTAAAATATATTTCGTCAGTGAGTACTCTTATATAATTTCTGTTTAAAAAATATTACTTACTGTGTTTGTGTAAATACTACTATATAAAAAAATAGTATAGTGTTTAAATGTTTCAACATTCCGAATTTCATCAAAAAAAGTTAAATTAAATTGAACTTTGTACGGTGAAATTAAACATAACTATTTTAAGTAATCTGTATTTTAATTATTCTTAATATTAAAGGAATAACAAACAATGGACAGTACTGGTGAATGCCGATTTCTTTGAACCCGCGACCTTAAATTTAGAGTTCTATCAATCATTTTAGTTGAAACTTTTATCTCAAATATATTTTTTATCAGATTTGATTTTCGGCTTCTTCCTAGTTATGATTATTATTTAGGAAACCGTTTTTAGAGCAATTTTTAATAGGAATGTAAATTTTAAATGTAGTCTCCTTTTGATTTCATAAATACATAGACAAACTGATCGACTATGATTTTTTCAAAAGCGTTGCATTGCCTTCGAATAAATATTGTTGATTTTCAGTCACATTGGATGAACGCATAGTCAAAATCTAGTTTCTTTTGAGCCGTAATTGATATACTTATTATGATTTACGACTATGTATAATACTTCTGATTGATTATTATATAAAAGAAAACGTTAATATAGATAAATAATATCCGCTGAAAGCAATTGAGCATTCGAGGACATATCGGTACCTGGTAAGAGAAAGGGAAAAAATATATGATTATAAAAGGTACCTATTAATGTAGATTTTTGAAAAATATGCATTTTTTAATCTTATAAAAATTATAGTACATCACTTGTGTGGAATTTCTATATAAGGTATTATGGTTACACTAAAAATAAGGGTCCAGAAAAAAGAATAAATAAATTGAGAAGCATCCTTTTATTGTAACATAAAATATAAATCTTGTAAAATTTTTCGAATAAAATATTTAACAATATTAAATTATCAAAGTAATCTTACAATATAAATATATAAATTATTCACTATCCATCCTACAAACCACGATATAACAGTTCAAATACATTTAAAAAACGGCATTTCTATGAACATTGGTTCATAATTAAATCCATACACTTAATCCATACTTAGGTACGTCCTATAAACTAAGACAATTAACTGCAAGCTATGAAGACTCGTTATGTTGGTAACTAGAATTATATATTATCATTATGTTGGCACAAACACCAAACTTCAAATATCATTAAAATATCCCATAGTTTTTGAACCAAAACACTATGTATTGAGTGTATAACATTAAAACATTCATTAGCATTTCATTAACAAACTGTCAATAATACTGTTCCTTTCATTGTACTTTTGAATCTCAATATTTCAACATCAAAAATATATTTTCTTCATCAGACGATAACATTATTATATAAATAAAAATATTTTAAACTCCACAACAAATGTAATCCTTGATTCATATATATTCTTTAATACTTAATTTATGATTCAATCGCTACTAATATAGTAGTCGGTATATAACTAATGTGTATGGAGCACCATTTATTAATTTAGGCTCCAATATGTCGCACCTTTAACTTACATATCTATTTTAGAAGAGATCTTGTTATCGCATACAGCAATATTTGATATTCGATATAAATTTTGTATAACATTTCATTCTACTTAACATTGTAAAACTCTAACAGAGTTAAAAACTAATTCCTAATAGTTTATTTGTATAATTTTGTATAAACGGTATATAAAAAATTCAAGGCACGTTTTAACTAATCTAAGGCACTTCAATTCCTCTGACCGTGGCTGGACCACATGTGTTCTTTGAATGTTTCTCTCATTGTGAATGATCTCGGACACAGATAGCAACACAGTCTGTTAGTTAGATCTGAATGCATTAATCTCACGTGGTACTTCAGGGCAGATTGATTTGAGTACTTCATACCACAGTGGGGACAGTCACCACAAATGGCTGCGTGATTTGATTGATGTACCGTTTGAGATGTCGATGCACTTTGTACTGGTAAAGCTGACATTCCCGCTAGTAGTAACAAAGCTTGTGACTGTTCTTGAGTGTATGAATCAGAATCAGTACCGTCTTGCTGTTCTGATAATAATATCTCCGGTTCATATTCTATTTCCAACTTAGGCGATGATTTTTCAACTTTGACTGTGTCCTCTTGTATGTTTTTTATTGGACTCTTTGCTACTGTTGTATTGTAATGCGTTGAATCCGTACTAGCTTCCCTTATTCGAGTACTTTGCATATCATTAGACTTTTTGATGTTTGAATTTGTTGTGTTGTCGCTTTTTGATGGATTTATACCTGTAAATAATGTGCAATAGAAGATTATTTTAACTTAAAAAGTCTATTGAATCTCTGTATACATTATTTTAAAGTAATAATCAACATTTTTATAGTGTTCTTACACTACTAGAACCTTACATTTATAAGAAAGAGTTTCTTAATCTAATTGGCTTAGAAATAAACAAGAAAAGTTTAACAAATAGTAAAATGAAGAAGTAAAATCATATACCTGAGATTAATGATCTAGCAAGCATACTGTTCTCATAGTCCGGTAGGTTATTATCAGTGTCAGAATTAACAGATTGAGCCTGAGGAGATGAATTACTATCTTCAACCCATTCAGTTTTAACCGTGACTGGAATGTCCTCATTCTGGCTTACCTATAAATGAATTATAAATATATATGTTAGTGACATTAACAAAATGACACAATATAGTTATAAAATAGTTTTTTATGGCACTTAATTCCACAGAAACCTATATTACTATAGCTTGGCCACAAATGTAATTTAAAACAGTTAAAAATACATAGACAAATAATGAATTAGAGACAATATTTATGGAATTCAGGGATAATTTTATAGATAATTGTATATATTTATTCATGTTTTAGTATATGAAAATCAAATATCAATTTACAAAAATGTATATCTGTTACATATTATATTTATATTATAATTTATTCTTGTCAGTATCACATTCACGATACAAAGTTGAATATGTATGTACATTGTTTGTCTTAAATTGTGCCCATACAATAGTAAATAGTAACTATTTACCTGATTTGAATTCTTTCCATTAGCCGTTACATTTTCTGTTTTCAGATCATTTTTCTTTTCAGGTTGAGTTTCGGGTACAAATATTGTATTATCAGATTTCAAGGACTGTGGGCCGTTATTTCTGTTATAAATATCACTCGGTTCAAGCACCTTACTCTTCTTATGTCCTTCAGTTAATGGTACGTCATTAGGTTTGTCGGAAGTACTGCACCTCCTTTTCTTAAGTGCAGGAATCTTTTCCTTATGAGCTACACCAAAGTATGGTTTTGATGATATTGTTAATTGTGTGTACAATTTGTTGGCAGCATTCGATGTAAATACATTCTCGTTCTGAAATAGGCAATGTTTAGATCAACAACTGAAATTACAAAATAGCAATTATATACAGGGTGACTGGTGAATTACTATCGATATTTGAGGACGTGATATTTGACGATCATATATGACAAAATAAAAATTAATATAACATAAATATTAATAAACTTCTAAGTAAAGTTAACCAAAAGTTAGGTAATTAATTACGCATCGTATGAACACCCTACAGATTAGGTATACACACACACTCACACAGACGCGGCGGCGGCGTAGTGTTGTATCAGCACGCCGCCGCACGCGTCCACACTTGGAACACTTGGAACGTGTACACACTTTATTTATTTATACGGAAATTTGGTCAAAAATTAAGTACCTATTTTTTTTACATAATTCGAATGAGAATCATGTACCGAGTATGCTCCTTAAATATTGATAGTAATTCACCAGTCACCCTGTATAATATATGGTCTTATTCATTCATATGATCTTACCTGCTGCGTAACACCAGTTAATCCTTTAACTTGCAATAGTGCTGCAGTATGCAGAAAAGATGTTAGCTTACTTTCTTCAATGAATACTTCACCTTGATACATGTAAGATAATAGACTGACAATATCATCAGCGGATACGTCTTTCAAAATTATAACAGGATGTTGACATGGATTTTCCTAAAATCGGAAATTATAGACGTAACATACATTATAGTTTTTAATCATAAGACAGGGCTGGTGGTTTGTGAGAACGTGAAGGTTATATACCAAGTCATTCACCTTGAACACATTCCTAAAGTACGGGCTGCATGCTGACAGTATAACTTTGTGGGCCTTGATGTTTCTGCCTTCGCAAGTAAGCGTCACATCGACCAAATCCTCCGAACATTTTAAAGAATCCAGTGCACTCACTATATTCGTTTGAAAGTTGTTCCAACGTAAACAAAACTGGTCTGCCATTATAATGTTTTCGTTAAATAAACCTAAAAACAAAATCACACTTGCATAGGTATACACATTCCGTAAGCCGTTGTAATTTTATAAAAATATCAATTATACATACCAAAACAAACATCACTATACAAAACATGAACTATAAATAGAGTATGTGTTTAATAATTATCTAATAAATTAAATTAAGGAGCACTCCAAAGTGTCTAAAATATGAATAAAAATAAAGTGCATGACCTCCAATGACACAGTCTTCTTTCACTTTCGTGGCATAGACAACTTTTATATTTCAAATTGCAGTTTAAACTGTCTATAGTTGCACTCTGTTATTGTTAATTTTATTGTGCCAACACTATGGACTTGAGCTATAAAATAAAGTCACGCATACACATGATATGTACTTTTTTTAAATATATAATAAGAATAATATGAAAAAATAAGGATTAGAACAATAATATCGACAACAATATCGACTGAAAATTATAACGGAAAATGGTCATTAATACAAATAAATATATGAAAAAACCGATATCTAGAATGTTCGATGTATCGATAAATAGAACAACACTACCAAGTACCCATTAGTAAATGTCTACTCATTGACTTTTCATCAAAGTTTTTAACTGCAAAACACACCGGTTCGTTTTTCGAAATTTTGTCATTTAACAGACATTATACAGAGTCTAGACAATACGTTTAAGTTAGTTATAGAAGACAATTATACCATTGAAGAGCTTTAAATATTAAACAATGTCTAACGATCCAGAAAGATTTGATTCTATGTTGCTAGCAATGGCACAGCAGCACGAGGGTGGTGTTAAGGAAGTAAGTATTCTATCAAAACAAAGTGAAATTTGTACCAATTTGTAATTGTTATGACGAGCACCGCATTGCTACTAATTCAATATACACTTTAAACGATACATTTTCTTAACAACCGTTTAATTCAGTCGTTTTAACATAGTATTAAATAACAAATTACAATATATTATAGACAATAACAGTTTCTTAAACATTCCAGCTCCTTGGAACTATCGTTAGTTTCTTAGCACGAAAAACCGACTTTTTTATTGGTGGAAAAGAAGGAGAATGGGAAAAGGTAAGTTACTCTGACCTTATTATGAATCTTAAAGTAATAAATTTTAAAATGATTCTGATAATTCTTTTACCAACAAGATTTTCATTTATTGATGTGCTTATAATTGATAAACAAAATTTTATCAACAATTACAGGTAGTGAAGGACACATTTTATGTTCATGCTAAAAAAGCTAAAGAGGAAGCTGATAAAATTAAAAAAGAAAAAGAAGAAGCAGATAGAAGGTTAAAAGAAATTCAACAGAAGAAGGAACAAGAACGTTTAGCTCAGGACTTTGAACCAGCGACGGTAACAGAACTAACAGATCAAGAAGCTAATAAGATGCTCGAAGACATAGAAAAAGAGAAACAGAGTAAAAGTAAGTATTAAGAAAATTGTATTAAGATAAGTTTCAGACATACTTACATGTGAAATGTCATGAAACATTTCATTGATGAAGTTCCAATACCTCCTAAGGGTTGAAAATCTAATTTTACACCAGAAGAAAAAAACTGTAAAATATATACAAATGAATGAATTCTTCCACTTAGTAGATATTTTCACATAGCTCAAGAGAGTGTTTGGTAAAGAAATATTGGATAGGAGTGAAGTCAATCTATGCGATTATCAGTTTTATGTCTATACTTTTGGACTAAATTGTCAGTTCAAAGGTATTGATACTTCATTGACGTTTTGCTACAATGGAACTTAAATACAAAATTTATTTTTGTTCTGTACATTTACTTTTTATTATAGGTAAAAGTATTATTTTAATAAAAAGTAACAGTTCACATCTAATAGATCTATGATCTATGAAGCCCAATAGATAAGTTTGTGTGTAAGCATGAGACCTTGTGTAGTACAAGATATTTTGCTTACATAATAATGAATCCTTATAATTTAACTTCACTTAATTTCTATTATAGCAGTTATTAACGCTATTGTGATAATAACTTTTGATTTTATGAACTCATAAACTCATTATTAATTAATAGCATATTGCTGCTGCTGCTATTGCTGACAATGGAGTTTTTTTACCACTCGTCATCATTTCAAAATTAGCTAGTGTTATGCCAATATTGAATTTATATTTCATCAATTCATATCTTTAATTTTAAAAATAGTTTTCTTTAGTTATTTGTAACTTACTTTAAAGTTATTTTGCCTTATATTTGGAACAAAGAAAATTATAGTAATTTAAAAAAAAATCAACCCTTCTGTTGCCATAAATAATGTCATACACAACTTGACTTTCTTTTATTCACACACAATAAGTATGATTAGATGGCAATTTTATACCAGTATATTATTGATAAAAAATAAGTATGCATTTTTCAATCTTTAAATCATTTTACAGCTGAAGATGGTAGTGGCGACGGTTCACCCACAAGCAGTAAGTCTGAAATACCCGATGAGGATGATGACCCCGCTGAAAAAGGAAAACTTAAACCAAACTCGGGCAATGGGTGCGACCTGGAAAATTATAGGTGGACTCAGACATTAGAAGAAGTTGAGGTAAGTTGATGGTGTATTAAAATTAATATATATTTGTTATAGAATGGTATTATATATATGTTTAAAGGAAATTAACATTTCACTTAAATGGTTCAATTTATATACTCACTCATTTTGTAACAAGTTGTGATGGGAAAGTCCCACATTTGTTATTGTAGTGATACAATTTAAAAAATTATGCAATAACTTCTGCAGACATTATTTAGTGACACCAATGAAACAAGATATTTGATGTAAATAGTTATCAAAAATTATCTTGCTGTATTTTTATGTCCACCCTGATCAAATCAAAACAGCTTTTACTAGGCCGTAGAAATATGGAATAAGATAAAATATATACTTTTACCTAATACAGCTGCGTGCAAAAGTATTAGGCACCCCTATTGTTAGTCACTATCTCATTAGATAGCGGTCAAGTGTGTGTTTTATGGTTTAGCTATTGTATTAGCGCCAATTTTTAACCAAATTAAGATAAAAGAAAATATTTATGACATCCAGGTGTGCTCCTAAGCGGTGTTTCTTCGAATTTGCTTTTTTTGCGTTTCGGGTTATAGTGTGTTATCAGTGCTTGCAGTGAACATACACGTCTTCTACGCAACTATTCCTATCACAATTCTAAAGACTGACATTTAACGTGTTAATCATGCCGAAAAAATCTGAAGTAAGTGCTGAACAGCGTCTAAGAATTAAGATTTTACATGAACAAGGCATGTCTCAGGTTAAAATAGCCCGAGAAGTGAAGTGCTCGCGGTGTGCAGTTCAATATGCTATAAATCGCTTCAAAGAGACTGGCACCCATGAAAACAGACCAAGAACAGGCAGAAGAAAAGTTACTACTGAACGGGATGATCGATTGTTGATTAGGCAGTCTCTACAAAACAGGAAAAAAACTGCTTTAGAGCTCGCTGCAGCATTATCTGAGGCAAAAGGCAGCTCAGTGAGTGTTTATACTGTGAGAAGAAGACTTCTTAAAGCTGGATTAAAAGGATGTAAAGCAAGGAAGAAGCCGTGGCTGTCAGAACACAATAAGAATAATCGGTTGGAGTGGGCACTCAAACATAGAGATTGGTCAGTGGAAGATTGGTCCAACATACTGCGGTCAGACGAATCTAACTTTGAGGTATTGTTATTTATTTTATGTACAATATTAAAACACATAAATGTTTTTAAAATAACGTACTGCAAGAAAAATAATAACTTTGAAAATAAATGGGTTTTTTTCGTTTGGCATAGGTGGTTTGGAACACCCGGTGTGACTCATGTTAGGCGAAGGTTTGGCGAAGAATACAACCCAGAATGTGTGGTTCCCACTGTTAAGCATGGTGGAGGCTCAATAATGTTCTGGGGCTGCATGGCTGCCGACGGAGTGGGCGAAATGGTGTTGTGTGAGGGACGAATGAATAGTGTTAAATACACTGAAGTTCTGGAAACAGCACTAGCAACGTCGATAACGCAAATTTTCGGTGATACAAACACCGACGGCCTGAAATATCAGCAAGACAACGCCACTTGCCACAAGTCCGCGCATACCATGAAGTGGTTTACTGAAAATCATATTGATCTTTTGGACTGGCCACCACAATCACCAGACCTCAACCCGATTGAGCATATTTGGTCCATTTTAAAGAAAAATATCCGCAGGCACTCGATTAGCAATAAACAAGCTCTATTGGCCGCGTTACAGCAGGAATGGAAAAATATATCAAGAGAAGAATGTTTCAGGCTTGTAGAGCCAATGCTAAAAAGAGTGGCTGCGGTTATTAAGTCAAAAGGTGGACCTACAAAATATTAATTATTTTCTTAAAATAAACCATTGTAATCATAAATGCAGTTTTATTTACACTCGCTATGCTAAAACACCCTAAAACTTGTCTTACTGTAGGGTGCCTAATACTTTTGCCCGTGGCTGTACTATCAGAGCCAGATATCTTCAATATGTAAATCATTGCTTTTTCTGATTGTGCTAAAACTATATTTTGCTGTAATTTCACTTTAAATAATATGTACCTATAATATATATAATTGGAAGTGTTGTTAGTTGTTGCTGCACTATGACTAAAGAATAACTGCAGGAATTTGCAAACCAACCAACATAGCATAGAACCATGAGTGAGACATAGGATACTTTTGATTGATTCGGTTGAAAAAAAATAACTTAATAAAATCCAAAAAAACTAGTTTGTATTTAAAAAAATATAATCAAAATTCGAACATTTTATAGTCATTTCTTATAAATTTTTACATTTTTAGTTTACTATACTCCCGTCGTATTAGTGCAGCGCTAGTGTCGTCTTAAGTCTTATCATTCGTTGACAACCTTGTAAAGGAGGTTGAATATATAACGAGGCTGAATCTGATCACACTGTTTTTGGCCTCTATCGATAAAAAATAGATTTATTTTATATTTAGAATTCACACCAGTAATAAAAATTAAAGACGATTAAATCACTAAACAAAATTATTCAACTAAAAATAAATTTACAAAAAATCTTATATTTTATTTGAATTTTTGTTTCATTTTAAAAGTAAAATATTATTGGAGATCAAATAATAGTTTTTCTTTTATAATATTCCGACGAAATACGTATTTTGTGATCTTAAAATGAATCTAAGTAATATAAGATTTTGAATTTTTAATAATCGTGAAAAGCTGGTTTGTCTTGCAAACAGTTTGAGACAATTTCACAACAGGTTACAACATAATTTGTTCTATTTGTGTACAGACAGGGTCATTGATCTGAAACTGACGATTTGTCACGACTATCACGCAACATTAATAATACTACTGTTTAACCTAATTATTATATTATTAGAGGAAAAAATAATGTCACTTGTCTAATCCAATATCCAATCATAGGATATCCTTTGTGATTTTTTTAAAGAGATCTGTGAAAGAACTGATACTGCTATAGGTATCGTTCGTTCTATATTAAAAAAGTTAAAAACATTATATAGAGATATTTCATAACAATATACTGAAAAACCATTTTCATAACAAGTAATCGGGACGCGATAGTGGGAATTTTGGGAGGGCCATAAAAAAAAACATAGATAATGGTATTTTTAATAACTTAAATATGTAACATTCTTATATATATTTTACTTTTCTTCATCTTCTTTTGATTGTGCTCCACTTATCCTACCTTCTCCCTATGTAGAAAAAATATATATAGCTGCCACGTTTCACTCTAATTAAGTTTTATAGTACTTTGGGACCCTATAAACATTGGCTGTTGCCATGGCTATACGATGATGGCATAGCCACAACACCGTAAAACACGAACCTCTGATAATTAGCTCGTTTTATTATTCGCTATACGTATTAGGCTTTTGTACAGCAGATTTATTAATAAGCCTATGGTCTTTTGTGATAATGTTTGAACTTTTATGATCCATTACGTGAATTAAAGAACAATTATAATTTATAACTCTGCTCTAATCTAAAAAAGTTGTGGTAATGTAAACCTATGCTGTTATTCTCATAAATACAAATTTTACTTCATCTTCGTGAGTACTATTTTTAAAAATAATTTAAGCTTAGAAATGACATTATACTATTCTTAATATCAATATTATTAACATATTCTTAATCACATATTGCAATATAAACTTTCACTCTTTTTGTTTATCTGAGCTAAAAATGTAGATAGGTTTCTTTTGTATATATTTTTCGTTTTATCCTTTCGTTGGGTTCTCTTCATTTCAATATTTCCTTACTTTCCAGATGGTGTTTTCTTGTATTCATTAAAACTAAAACAGTAATTAATTCTTTATTTTTAAGATGACGAACTTATTAATAAGTATGCCCTTACTCCCACATTTAGATATTTTAAATGACATTTTTTTTAATTGGTGAAATCTAATGCTATCTAACCATTTCGCTAGTAAACATAAAAATAAAATTTTGATCTCGGATGTTTACTTGCCGATTATTATTTTTATTTTAACATTCGTACCTGACTTTTGGATTACTTTTCAGTAAACGTTATCAATGAGATGAAATTGTCCCATTTAGCCTTTTTTTTTATCACCACCCTTTAATTATTTTTATAGTAAAATGTATGTTAATGTTCTACAAGTTAGGGGTGACCTAAAAGTTCAAAATGTTCGATATAAGTCCCTAAATTAAGTGTATATATCTATACTAATATTATAAAGCTGAAGAGTTTGTTTGTTTGTTTGTTTGAAAGCGCTAATCTCTGAAACTACTGGTTGGAATTGAATAATTCTTTTTGTGTTGGATAGTCCAGTTATCGAGGAAGGCTGTGGGCTATATAACATCACGCTACGACCAATAGGAGCAAAGATATAGTGGTAAATGTGTAAAAAACGGGAGAAATTATTTCATCTTTGAAGCCTTCCGTTGCCTGCGCCGTGAAAACGGTTCAAGATACACAAAAAATATGTATTAAAGAATAATAGCTCTTTTAATGATCTAAAAGACACTCTGCGACAGTATATGTCTATCTTTTAAGATTAACTCACAAAAACCGTTTTTATGATACCTAATTTGGTCGAAATAATTTGTTTAAGTTGTATCAACATAATGATATTAATCTTTATTCAAATAAACAAATAAATATGTTGTTGGTTAAGAGTACTTCATTGTGAATAAAAAAAAAACATAGGTTTTATCCTGAAAATTCTACGGGAACTCGACCATTCCAAAAACCCCACAAGAACGGGAACTATGTGGGAAGAACCAAAAATCTGCCGTAAGTCACTATTCCACGCGGATGGAGTCGCGGCAAAAGCTAGTAAAAAATAATTCGTTTAAAATCTTGAATTAAACGTAAACACCATTTGTCACTTACGTTAGAAGTAATTCATAATTCTTTACACGTATGTCCTCGACCGTAATTTCTCATCTTGTCTTCATTTTTTTTACTCAATTTAATATTCGTGTTTTTATAGTCTTCAATTTATTTTAAAAGGCTTTTATTTATTTTTAGTTTCACTTTGTTTGTTACTGACTCCAAGATTTTATTTTGGTTAATTTCAAAAGGATAAACTTGATGTAACTATATAATTTCTTATATTAAAATCGTTGCTTTTACATAGTATACCTTTTGAGATGAAACTTCTCAGCATTCCATGGATTCATTGTGCGGGTGTAGGATCCATTGCGAATAAAAATATATTTAGTTTTTGGCTGGATGATAATACGGCAGATCTATAGTCGTAAATAAAAATTCATTTGATTTTTTCTGAAATATAAATAATTATTTAAAATCTAAAAATACTTTTAAATATTTCCATCAATTCACTTCTTGTTATTGTGCAAACTATTGATATGTCGTAAGCCACTACAACGACCTCAATGAATAATTATTATAATTATAATATCCGAAATCTTTAATAATTTGTTATTTAGAATATCATTAACAAGCAGGAAAGACATAAATATTTATATAAATTTATGATTCAATACTAAAATAAATAAAAAAATCCTAGGTTACACAATTCGATTATTATAAATATATTTTATTTGAATGGCATATCATAATACATAGAGGTTAATTTCGCGACGACATTTTATGTCAGCGGTAATTTTTGTTTCTTTCGCCCTTGAGATCATATAATATTCTGTTAAGTGAAATGTATTGAGTACAGTCTACGTGACCTACAATGCCTTGTTAATGGTGTTCTCATTAAGGTTTTGCATGCGGTTTCGTCCGCTAAATCACATTATTTGATTCTCATTCATAAATTAAAACATTTTTGTTGAAAGGAATGTGGGTATTTATTGATATGATCGCAATCACAAGGCCAGGATTCTATTCCCGTGATATATAAACAATACAATGTTCATGTGTTTCTTTCCGTTTATATGTAAATGTTTCACGGACCTTCGTATCAAGGAAAAACCTCGTTATACAAGAAGCCTTCATTTATTAAATTCATATAATTCTTTTTAATCATCCAATACGTGAAATAAAGTAAATTTATATTTTCTTTTAGTTATCACAGTTTCTACTACAATTAGTTTACAATTATTACATGTTACAAAATATACGAATAATATCTTAGGACACATAAACAGACGTCCGTATAATATATATAATTGCACATATTTACAAAGCACACAAAGTAATTATATACTATGGACTACTTACATTTAGCCTTCTTTATTGACAGTCACTAGTCTCACTTTAGACAAATAGTAACCGCTGTAATATACATGAAATGAACATATTTATTATAATACAATCACAGATCTTAAATATGTGAGCGTTTCTGCCAAGGATATGTCCATTGAAAATAAATAAATTATCCTAAATTAATGTTACAATGTATTGCACTTATTAATTATTATTTAAAGGAGATTCTACTCGTTAATACAAACTAAACATTTATACTAAATAATGGTACGGACAAAATTTTTGTTGTATTTAAATTAATAAATATCTTTTTCAAAATTTCAAAAATGTGTCGTAAATTTTGTTTGATTAATGTCAGATTTAATTTTACAATACATACTTTAAAATTTCAAGTGTCCGTAAAAAATTCTAACTACCGATATATTTCGATACTATCTATACTCTTACAGACTACAAAGATTTTCTATACTGTATGAAATGGAACAAAATTGGACTACATTTTCGTATAAGACTAAAATAATTATTATTTGTATTAGTGTCGCGTCGTATGTAATTCTTCTTGCCTCTTGTTCCGACCTTCTAAGAGTATTTATACATGCCAGTCTCCCTGCGCATTCGCACTGTAACAAAGTATGAAAATTATGTATGTTACAAAAGTTATTGGACATTTCGACGGTTAAATTTGTTTATATTGTATATCCTTAAGCAATTTTAAAGCTGTTTGTTATTGAACAAATCAATAATATATATAAGTTTGTAGCTTTTGAAATAAAATCTTACTTTCAACAAAGCATATAGCGGCGAGTATGCAGGCAGAGAACAGTATGGTCATCGAGATAACAAGCACGGTTATCTGATGTGAATGATCACAACAGCAGGTCTTTGGCTCCTTGGCTGGACGGTGCTTCGTGAACCCATTTACTACTGTGAAATGAGTTGAGCTTGCAACAGACGTTGCGTCTTGTCCTACATCAGAGCCACGTTTGACGTCATTCCAAAAATTATCGTGCGCCTGAACGGCCGTCTCCTCGGGAATTGACATAACCGCATTAGCAGTTGCAGGTTTTTTCACAGAATTTATAGTCCTATTCTGGTAGCATCCGTAATTCTCTTGAACTGGATTTCTACAACTCATGCGCTCTAAGTGCGCGGCACTTAACAACATCGATCCCGAAGACACGCTCTGTAAAAGAAAAAATATTTAAAACAAAGCGTATATAAAATTAAAAAACCTAAAGTTAATAAGACTCAAAGAAAGTATAAAAACCAGTCTTAGCTAGTTCGGTTGGCATACTTCCTTACTGCCGGCATTGACCCATGATTACTTTTAAAACGCCTTAATTGCAACACACTTCTTAAAATTACTTATAGTTTTGTAGGTTAATCAAAAGAGACTAGCAAAGTGACAATTTTTATTTATCTTATTATTACATCATTGCCAGTAACCACTTCCTGTAAGTACATACTTTAGAAAAATTATGTAACAACGCTCAACAACAAACAAAGCTTTTATAAATAACATACGTCATACGTTTAAAACGTTAAAACAATGTTATTTAAGCTGTAACAAAATTAATCGTTGTTTTGTTACAAGGCAAAAAGATTAAAATAAAAATTATGTTGCTAGGTCGAATACAATAATACTGGTTCTCGCCAAAGCGAAGGACAAACCTAACAAACTATCATCGTAATTTAAATGTACACAAAAAGATTGGACTTTCCATAGCTAGTGACAAATCACATTGAGTACAAAGCGAATTAATCTAAAGATATTTCAAAGCAAAATGTTAAATGCGTAACAAGTAACATTAAAGTCCGCCTCCAAACATCACTTCATACATCCGGATCATTGTTCTTTACCATATCCTGAATATCGTTAGCGTGGTCTCGTGATAGGTTAGCATTTTGCTGTGTCACGTCCAAATTTCTACCATTTTTGGATATATATCATCACGTAAGATTTATCTGATCCATAGATGATCTTATTTAATATGATATGTTTGCTTTCTAGTTTTTTTTTCAACAGAGATCCGGGTTGTGAGATCCTGTGTTCGATTATTTGGAAGATTCCTTTGGTAATTTGAACCGGTCGAATAAAATTATTTGCATTTATATCTCGCGTTGTAGATCGTGATCGTCTCTAAAATAGTAAATGGCATTAGTGCGTGTGAGCACTCAAACCCCGCGTATTTAATTTTTTTCACATATTAAAATGGAAATATAAATTGGTCGTAAGAAGCCATAAAAAAAAAGATTTTTGACCACGCTCTTTCAAATCTACACAAGAATAAATTTTTTTTGTGGAATAGTTTTAAATGAAGTAGAGGCGCCATTGTGACATTGGGATATTCATATTATAATATTATTGCTGTATTCGTCCCTGATTAAAAATACCTTTTATTTTTGATACAAGTTAAAAGACGGTGATTTGTGAAGGTCGCCGGTGATTAGAGAATTGTATATTTTTTTATATTCAAATAAATTTACAAATAATAAAATAAGTCTACAAGAAATATGAAAGGCTTTTAGTGTTTACTTGCCTTTATAATCATAGATGTAATTTTTGTTATTTAATAATATTGCAAATACTATCACTTGTTCTAGTTCTGGTTGCGTTAGAAAAGTGAGGAAGGAGGAGGGCATAGGTCATTATAAGATGTCGCATGTTATGTTATTACATATTTGAAAAATTTAGAGAAAAATACGTTCTATTCATTCCTTAAACGATTGTTTGTTTTTTTTTATGTAATTATGGGTCAGGGTATCGGGTGGAAATACGTTTGACCATAAACTTCATATTCAGCATAGAAACATGCACATGAGGTTGTTTTTATTCTTTTTATATAATGAATATGTAATGAAAGGGCTAGTAATAGCGATATATTTACTTTGTCACTGACTTAAATTAATTGCAATTAACCTTTACTTGATTTTTAAGCCATTTTTATGATTTTTAGACAGAATAATTGCATTTTTTTGTAACCGATTCCCATATTTCATAGTAGCAATGAATATGTATAATACTATTCTTTTTTTGTGATACATCTTTAAAATAAGTGGATGTGAGTCATTCTTACGTGAGTGCTGTGATTACTTGATGAGCCTTGGCTGGAGGCGGAGCCGCCTCGGGACCGCGAATCGCTAATGCTTCCACCATTACTCGATAGTGATGGCCGAGGTATATGCCAGTTGTGTGATGAAATCTGTAATGAATAAAGAGATGATTGAATCTCAACGTTCATTAAACTAACAATACATTTTATAATGTTGCAAATGATAAGTCAGCTGATTTGTCAACTCTTCTTAAGAAAGAGTAGGTACTAACTGAATACAATGCAATAGTTGCAATACGATACGGTCTAAGTTCATCTGATTCAAAATATTTCATATCTCACAGAGTTTGTTGTGCAAGTTATCGTGCTAATGTATTCTAATCCATTTTATTTTTCGTTATTTTAGTGGTCATACCTAATCTTTTCTAAATTCAATATCAGCTATTTAAAGGATTTGTACATTTTGCAAAACGTATAGAGGAACCAAATGAAATCGAGTCAAAGAAATTTTATTTTTGTTGCAACAAATTACATAACTCGCTAATTAGCCGCTGGCCGATTGTTGTGCAAATTAAACGTCGTTTTATAATTTTATAACTTAACCATGTCACCTTATGGCAAGGTAGTTGTCAAAGGTCTGAGGTAACTGTTACAGCAACAGTGTTGTTGACTTGTAAGTTTTACGTTAGTATTTAAAATTTGGTTACATCCATTTCATTTTTAGGTCAAGTTTTGTTGAGTCCGATTGATTTTGTCAGATACGGTGTTCAAGGTTCGCGTTCTCTTTATTTGCTGTCTTGTTTCGTCGACCTCTGGCGCAATAAATCTCTGTTCTCCTTTGACTTCACGTTACTCTTTGTTGCATTGATGAGATATGATGTATAGGAATTTTAGGTAGCTAGATTTCTTACTACTTTAATGATAGTAAGGTCGCTGGGTTGGCTATAATTCTATTAACTTAATGTTTGTATTGAATAATTACGTTTTGGAATGTTAACAACCGCTATTGCAGAGATTGGTTATTTAGGTATAACTTGTTGGGAACATATTGCAAAATATCTCGCTAACTTAATAACTGGTTTGCCGGTAGGACTTGGATTGTATTCCACAGCGCTGCAACCTTTGTGAGAAGCCCACAATTACTTTCGCTATATGTTTACTGTTTTAACAGTTTCATTGAATAATTATATCTTCATATACTGATGAGTCTTTGTATTTAAGTTTTATTTAATGAATCATACTACATATAAATATATCGCATCGTATGCACGTGACCATAAACGGATGTGCGCCTTTATCACTTAATACATAATTACTATCAACACGTGGCTTACATACGTGTGAGAATCTTCTGTACATATCCAATATACCTTAACAACAATTATAATTTATAGCATATGATGTTGCACGTGAATTATTGCTATTTAATTGTATTTTAAACAAGCTATGGGTTTTATTATTATTGGTCTATGCAATCACGTGCAATAATAATTGATTTTACATATAACTAAGTAATAAAAATTGTTATATTAAAATCAAAATAAAGATCAGGTTAGGATGAAGTATCAGTGTATGTAACAGTAAATAGTATAAGTACCTGTCGTATAGTTAGCGTTAACGGTGATGATCCAGTTAAATATTAAATGGCAGGTGAATAGTTGAGTAACGTGTTTAGAACCAATCGATACCACCGGTTATGCAATGACGGTAATCTTGACGAATATAATTGTATTATACAGCCGCGTGCCAATAACTGTATAATGATCACGAAACTTATTATACATACAAAAAAGTCTACAAGGATAGGACTTTTAAGATAAAATATATGTAATTTTATATGTTTTTGATAAATATCAAAATTGTTACTTTCAAATGTGTGTAATATTGGCTTGCGGTACACAATTTATTTGTTAAGTTTCAGCGTGAGCAAGCTAATTAGTCTGCTAGGTTTATAAAAGTCTGTCTACTCGCTGTCTGAACAATGCTTGCTACAGTTACCATGATAATCAGTTAACGACCATCTAGTCTGTTCCCCTTTAGAAGAGAAAGCGTGTTGTTGCATGTCTCTTCTTGGAATACTTTCGGCAATGCAAATGTCACAATGGATAACGGATTCTGTTACATTACGATTCTTTTAATTTCATGTCGCTCTTCAAACTCATAATGCTATGCAAATTTCATTGACTTCAATAATTCTTGGAAATAATACATGAGTAAAGCGAATACAATACTACATATTTTTTGCTGTCGCCTTATATTTTTACGGGGAAATCACAAAAACCAAACAGACATCAACGCCAAATACAGCTAAGTGTGATCAAACAATTCTAATGTGATTTGAAAATAAGCTAAAAATAGCTTTGTGCGAGTGTTTGCACGATGGCTACTGGTAGAGAAACGCTGTTCTGTTATTCAAATTATGATATATCATAAGCGATTGCATGAGGACACCGCAACGTAAGTCATTGTTCACGCTGGTCATGATGCTTATTGTCGGCCTTGAACTCAATTGGCTGTATTTATGAAGCTAACAGGAATTGTGTCAATGCAAATCGCTTTGGAAGCCGTCCGACTACTGGCTGACAATGAGGAAGGTCCACCCGATGGACCGCTGTTGTTATTTTCATAAAAATTCAAAACTATTCAATGTTTTTTTTTTTACATAAATAACTATAATCTTTCGCCTCCAGTTCGAGGTTTCTGTGAATCGAGATGTTCTTGACCGTAGATGTAATTATCTAAATTCATATATTATACAGTGAATTGTCCATTTATTATTAACAAAAATAAACATAACTAACAGCTGTTATTAACAACTTAACAGTTAAATCAGTTATGTTATTATTTTTCAATTATTGACTTCGATAAGCAATTTGTAAAGTGTTATAACTTATGTTCACGTTGAAAAAAGTGGCCATGTACATGATTACTTATCCGGATTCTTCTGTTTATTACTTAGACTATGACGTCACTTGATGATGTAAAATTTTTCTGATATTCTACAAATTTAGATACAAATATTAAGCAAAACAAACAACCCGCGGTCGGTTTTTTTCTTGTAACAACAACACGCTTAGTTTGTAAGAGAAATAAACTTTTCGTCATTAGATTTTTATACAATGAGCGAATTACCTTGAAGATTTGAGTTCTTTGTAAAATACTATATAACACTTCCTGGCTATCATGTTAACTAGATGATAAATATCAACTTGTCCTCTGTTCCTTCTACCAATTGAGATTAAGGCCAGTATTGTTTATTTTTATATTTATAATAATATTTTTGTATCATATTGATTGTAGTCTCAATTTTTTTTATTTTTTATTAATCAAGAAGTACAATTACTTTTTTATTTTATGAAATGATTTTAATTCATCCTTCGGCATTTAAAAAAATCACGATGAAAAAGGAGTTGTTGTAATCAGTCTTCCTTATAATAATCATTTCGATTACGTCACAAATGTATCGTTAACCAAGAATCACAAAAACAATATCCTATACTAGTAGTTCTACCGATATCTCTTATTAAATGGCGTTTTGTTTCCCATTACGGGGAACAGTAGGATTAAAAATATATATTAAACTTATTTCGTAGTAAATACATGTAAAATACTATGTACATATATTTAAATTCATTGTGTAATTAATATATAACAAATACACAAAGCTCTTAGATACATTTGCATTCATAATTTAGATAAGCCAAAAAAATATATAATACGTAGAGATTTGCTCATGCAGAACAAATTTATAATCGAAACAAAGTTATTTTTAGGATTATCCATACTATAGTCCTAACACAACTTATAACAAGTTTTAAAATTATTTTAAAATAAACAAAATATCTGGAGTTATACAAAACTTTTTAGTTTTTTCTGAATTTTTCATCAAAGTAATTGAGCCAGCGGCATTTTATTGATAGAAAAATAAACACTAGAAATATCTTTAACTTCTTTCTACAAATAACTAATGTATACTTAGTATATGTAGGTTCTTATGTAAGTTTACTTAAACGATGACCTAGTTAGTTTGTCAGTAAAGTAAGTTTTAAGCACTGCGACTCCAGTTTTTCCATAACGCAATGCGTGAGAATCTCTTACATCATCCGTGAACAATGGGACTAAGATCCGTATGCCACTGGAAAATCCTTATTTAGTCAAGCCCTCGGTAACTAAATCGAATATCGTAATAGGGATTTACAAATACAATTGTGTAATATATTAATTTGTTATAACTATGTCATGTTTTATAAACGTCAGCTTAATAATTAATCTAGTGGGATCTCGTTCTAAGTAATCTGTATTCTCGATGCGTGAAAGATTTATGAGATAAGTGAATTATAATTATGCAAAATCAAATGGAGCCGCTGTCTTCTATCAATGCTTTATCTTTGTTGTTAGCTACGGATGTCTTTTTGTTTTAAAGTACGAACGCAGCCCTGGGTTTTGGTCCGGACTCAAAGTCCGGGTTTCGAAAATGTGAAGGCCGACGTTTGAAACAACTCTGTTGGGTCCCTGTGCCTATTTAGTTCTTATAAGTCTGATCATTTTAAGGAATAAGACTCCTGACGTGAATTCAGTTAAAAATGAATTACGTTGCATTATGATGCAATTTACTTGTGCTACTTACAATTATTATTATAGGTTTAATTATGAAGATTTTTTAATTTTTTAAATATTTTATGGTAAATTTAAATGGAAAAAATATATATGTATCTATATATTAATATGAAATAATTTGCACAAGTTTATTCAAATGCTTCACAGTATAATATTAATCATTTTTCCCATTTAATATATTTAAATGTTTTCTTGAACCGGAATTAGCTACAGAAATGTTGTTCACTCCATCTATGACCGGCGTTAGAATTCCTGTTTGGCTATTTTATAAAAATTTTATGACATGCAAAAAAAATAATATTCATGTCAGAAACCAGGTGCGAAAAATTCCAATCACATTTTTATTATGCAAATGATATGTTTATTGTAATTTTTGATAGAACAAAACGGAACTAATGTCTGCTATAGTGGGTATACGTGATTCATCAATACAGTCATAATCATAATATTTTATTATTATTCTTACATTATGCATCTTTTACACATGAAATAACTCCTAACTATTTTTTATTGCCTCCAAATATTTAATGTTGAATGAATATAATTACGTCAGGTTTAACTGAAGTTATGCG